TTTATTTCTCATATGGGGAGATTATATAAACTAAAATTATGACTGCAGCAAGCTCCCTCTTGGGTATGTTTGAAAAATTGCAAGGCTCACCCGTAAGGAAAGGGGAAATGATGATTAGCTGACAGATAGTGAATTTGAAGGGAACAGATGATCACAGATTTTCTGTTTTTAATATATAATAAAAACCCTGTAGAATTACTTTATAATCCATACATTTTATTGCTTCAAAAGCTGAGCTTATGTGGTCTTTTTGTAACTACTGTGAAAGGCAGTTAATTGTGTTGATTGTCTAATTATATTTCTACCAGTTAAAGCACCAAGAATTAGACATTTTGATTTGGTTATGTGAATTATGCTGAGTCAGTTCTGTGCAGTAGATAACACACCACTTTGTTATCCTGCCCATAGTCCAGAATACTGTTGAGTTTTGGATTTGGAAATGTGTAGTGGTATGAGAAATCATCCTAATTATTTGGATTTAATATTTTGATGGCTTTTATATATAAGTGTTTTATAAATACAAAACTATTAATCTTCTAAAAGAAAATATATTTGAGTTTTATAGGTCCTAACTCATTGTGTAGACAAGACATTTTTATGTGTTGTTCCTGTTTAACTGATTCCTAAGATAGGAAGTTATATTTTAGAATCATTTATGATCATTGACTAGGACAAGAAAAAGTGGCATAAAAGATGTAAATCTTATTCACTTATTTATGTGTGTTGTATATTTAATACATATCATGGATTTAAGACAAAATCTGTGTTTTAGATTATTATTTCAGACAAAGAATCACATTGCAGTATTTCAGATCGGGTTTTGTTAGCTATGTTTCTCTGACCTTATTGTCTGTCTCCTGTTGCTGGGCAGAAATCAGAATGCTGGCTGCTGATTGGCTGAATTTGTATGTAGCTCCTGAACAGCCATTTACATTCTTGAGTTTTTGAGCAGGAAGATTATACACTAAGATAAAACAGCTTCCCTTTGTTTCATGGCTGTGATCTCTTATTAGGAAGACAGTGAAAGAGTGGGTGGAGGGGAGTGGAACACAGAAAAAAATGTTCTCACTTAAAGAAGAGGCTCATTGTTCTCTCCTTGAAAAATTATCAAAAACTGAGAAGAAATTACAAGCCATAGACACATATTTCTCTGGCTATTTACATGCAGATTCCTATAGAAACATGTTGATAGCAGTTCTTGGATCTGAATATGTAAAGCAAGGACTTAAAATATTCTTATTTTTAAACTCTTTTTCATTAAAGAAACTAATCCATCACATCATGCAGTTGTTTTTAGATACGGCAGACACTGTCCACAGTAAAATAGTAAGTTTTTCTGTAAATGAGTTGCAGTTGTGTGGATGTTGTGTGGCTAGTGTGCCTGCCCCTGAGAGGAGCGTTTATTTTACAGACTGTCCAGATGTCAGTGCTCACAGTGGGCTTCACAAAGGCCTCCTGCTCCAATAGATAGATAGCACGGAGCCTTGTTAGCACTGAACACCTTTCTCTGGGTGTTGTATTGTTTCTACTGAGCTTTGCTTATGCAAAGTAGATCTCTCAAAACACATTGCTGATTGGCTTACACGGATACGGCTGGACTGGTTTGAACTGGTTGTTCATGCTACTTATAGCTTTGCCTGTCTTTTGTTATACTTAGAACTATGAAAATTCCATAAATGGCTTAGCATGCTCCCTGGTGGGTAAGGAAGGTTAGTGTTGCTGCAGTTAGTGGCTTTTTTGGTGGTGACATTTTAATATTATTATTTGCACTGAATTTTCTAATCCTCCCCACCAATGCTATTTAATTTGTCTCAGACTCTAAAAGTTATGCCTAAAAATACCCAGAATAATTAGGCTAGCAAGGATAATGATGTTGAGCACTTGGTACATTCTAAGGGCCTTTTGTTTTGCATTGGTGATAGAACCTCAGTCTGTAGCCAAGGTTGGGGAGGAGCTGATTGTGTAGCTCATGCTGGCCTCAGACTTGTGGTGATCCTCCTGCCTCAGCCTCCCATGTGCTAGGACTACCAAAGTACCCCAATTTGCCTGGCACAATTAATTAATTAATGTTATTAATTAGCCAAATTATTAATTGTCAGCAAAGCCTGTATGGTAAATACACTTCCTTTTAAGGCACTTTAAAAGAGACTGGAGGGCTGGGCCACACCTGCCTCACATTCAGTTTTCTCCCTGGGAGGAGTGGGCCTCACACTCACAACTCTCAGCAGCGTCCATTTCTTACTTGCCTTATGAAAAACCATGACGCTTCTTAAGATGTGTAACTTTAATGTAAATAATGCTAACTTGGTTATGCATAGAATATCTGAAAATGGATAATTCAAGGTCTAAAGGAATGGTGCTTCAGTATTTGAACATATTTAATGAGTAACCAAACTCCATTTAATATGTTTATAGTCAGCAAGGTGAGTACCAGGCTTGTATTGTCTGGGATAGATAGAGTTCATTGGTACAACACTGATTAGCGTGCATAAGAAAGCCTTGGGCACTTAACGCACAAAAAAGTAGGTAAAAAATTTTATAAGTTCTATGCAGAAAAATATATATGTAACATGACTTTGAAGTGGATGAGGAAGAAAAATCTTTGTTTAAATTCTAGACTCTTAAAATAGTGCCAGTGGTGATTTTGTTTGAAGATTTCTATAGAGTTGAAAGATAATTTTCTGAGGAGTTCTTTAACTTAAATAAAACTAAGAAATGTTTAAATTATTAAGTTAAATTCAGAAAATGAATGTAGAACGCAACACAATCTAGACATTCTTTGACAAAGTGCTATATCCTTTAGAGCTGTATTGGTCTCTGACAAATAGGTCAAATTTATTATTGAAAGACATTTGTTACTAACAACTTTGGTTGACTTATTCTTGTAGATAAGTTCTAATAGTAACAGGTTAAAATTGGGTTTGGTATAGTGTACTTTAGGTGGTTTTGTGGAGTTTAAAGAAGTAGAGCCTCATTCTTGATTGGGTGACACTGGGTAGCAAATATCTGATTAAGTGTGTGTATGTGTGTACCTGTGTATGCACGTGTGTGCAGGGGTACATGTCCATGCTGTTCATTCCATTGTGGTTGGTCTCGCTTTTCCCTCCCTCTTCCCTCTCCCTTCTGTCTTTGCTGCAGTTGACAAGGGCCATATCCAGGACCTCACATGCCAAGCAGAGATGCTTGTGTTTCCATAAAAATGCTGATATGGAATCTCTTTCTCTCTCCCTCTCTCCCTCTCTCCCTCTCTCCCTCTCTCTCTCTCTCTCTCTCTCTCTCTCTCTCTCTCTCTCTCTCTCTCTCTCTCTCTCTCTCTCTCTCTCTCTCTCTCTCTCTCTCTCTCCTCATTTCACCAATAAATGTAGCATCTACATCTTGAAAACCTTTATATGAGCAAATTCCCTTTTTTAAAAATGTCTTATTTTTTATAAGGTAATGTTGAATATTGTCTAATGGATAGTCTATGTCTACTGAAGTGATTCCTCATTTACTCTCACCATATGTTTATGTGGTAAATCACGCACATGCACGTGCACACAAGATATATCGTCTGAATTTTGCAGGCTGGGAGTTGTCAAGGCATGTCTCCTTGGAAGGTCCTGAGGAGACAATTGTCCAGACATGTCTCCTAGCTTCTTCTAATTCTTTGACTTGTGACAGCATAGCTCTTCTCCTAAGGTGGTTTTATTCTATGCATGCTTGGATATGGATTTTATAATGGTCTTCTTGTGGTGATTAGTGTTGCCTGTTAAAGAAATATACTGCTCAGTCATTTGTAGAGAAAACAAGAACAAACTACGCAAATTAGAAAACGTTTTAGCCGAAAAAAGTGATACTATGACATATCAAAATGTGAGAACCAGGGACTGGAACTGCAGCTTAGCAGTTAAGAGTAGTTGCTGCTCTTGCAAAGGCCCCGGGTTTGGTTCCCACTACTCACCTGGTGGCTTAGTATTGTCTATAACCCCAGTTCTAGGGGATCCTGCACCTGTTTCTGGGTTATTTGAATGCATGGGGTGCACGTAGATAGTCAGATTATATACACACATAAAAATAAATCTATTAAAAATATGAGATTCAGTTAAAGATACTAGTAATAATTGATGGTTTTCTGCGCATACATTATGAAAAGTGAAAATTCAAGATTAAACTTGAACTGTAAGGAAAAAGATGGTACAGTGGTTAGTCTCTATTGTCACTTGAGAGCTAGACTGACTTGAGGTATGGTGTCTTGGATACGTGGGTGGGTGGGCTAAGGTGATTAGGTTAATGAGGTAATAAGACCCACTCACTATGAGTCCTTCCCTTCCCTGGGCTGGGTCCTGGTCTCATAAAGGAAAAAGTGAGGCGTCCACCAGAATTTATGGTTTTCTGACTGTGGGTGCAATGTGACTAACCACATCCACCGCCTGCTGCCTCGATCCCCTCGTGATGGACTATACTGTTGAACTGTGTTTCAGAACAAACCCTTTTTCCCCTAGTTGATTGTGTCAAAGACCGTTTTATCACAGCAGCTGAAAAAAATAGCTCATCAGATGCAAATTAAATTCATCCAAAAAGTCAAAGAGATGACATTAGAGAAGAAACCAGCAAAACTACAAAACAGATGCAAAACAGAAACAATTAACTAACAGGGTTTCTCTGTAGTCCTGACTGTTGGGGAACTCGCTCTGTAGACCAGGCTGGCCTTGAATTCACAGAGAGCTGCCTACCTCTGCCTCCCAAGTGCTGGGATTAAAGGTGTATGCTACCATCGCTCGGCTGCTTCTCTGAAATTTTAGCTCTTGTATGGAAAAAACTAGCTCCTTTTCCTCTTCATTTTCCTAGCACTGGTGTTCTGATATGCACTGTGTCGTCTCTCAATTTTGTTATTTAATCTAGTAAATATGAAAACTAAGACATGGCAAGGGTTGAGATTTTATGATCTAAACTGTTCACTGGAATTTTCAGTTAATTTGTAATTAACTCAATTGTTAAAATTCTTTTCTTTTTATTTAAAGATTCAAGATGGATAGTATAGAAGAACCTCAAAAAAAAGTCTTCAAGGCCCGGAAAACAATGAGAGTGAGCGACCGGCAGCAGCTGGAGGCCGTGTACAAAGTGAAAGAGGAGCTGCTGAGAGCCGACGCGAAGCTCGTGAATGGGAGCCACGAAAATGGAGATCTGGAGCCCACGTCACCTTTGGAAAACAGAGACTGTCTTCCAGAGAGAGAAGTGAATGGCGTTGAGGGGATTTGTTTGGAGTCTGAAGAAAGTAAAACAGAGTTGAAAGAAACACCTTGTGTCCCCAGTGCTAATGTAAAAAACAAGCAGGAAGAGGACTCAAACAGTGAGTCTTTGTCTCCTAGTGTAACTTCTGAGCTTGCTTCTAAACCAGCCACTGAGCAAGCCCCTGGCACCCCAGCCTCTGGTGATCTGACCGCAGGAGAGGTGGCTGTTGGAGTACCAGCCACTGGTGACTCTCCTTGTGAGGCGTCCCCCTCTAGTGCTCCCTCCTCCCATGATCCTACGCATAGTGATCCCACCTCTGCAGATACTGCTTCTGAAGAACCTGCCTCTGGTGATCTTGCTTCTGGTGAGCCACTGTCTGGTGAACCAATGTCTGATGAAGCAGTTTCAAGCGAACCGTTGTCTGATGAACCATTGTCAGACGAAGTAGTTTCAAGTCAAACAGTTTCAGATGAATCAGTTGCTGGTGCGGTGGCATCTTGTGAACTGGCTTCTGGGGAACCCTCTTCTGATGATTGTGTCCCCTCTGGTAATTTGCCTTCTGATACCCTGCCTTCTAGTGATGAGTCTTCTGGTGGTCCTGCCTGTAGCAGCAGACTGGCTTCTGGTGAGCTGGCTCCTGGTGAGCTAACTGAGGAATCAGCCACTGATACTTTTAAACCAAGTTCTGTGCCAGTTTGTGAACCAAGTCCTGAAACTGACAAGACAGAGCAGAGTAGCAATAACAATGATGATTGTTCAGAAAAAAATGAAGACGAAAACTTAGACCAAATTCAAAGTAAAGACTCATTTGATGAGGAAGAGAAAACTAGCAGTAATGTTGTTGAGAAGGAAGAAAGTCTAGACACACATAGTGCAATTATTTGTTCTGATCTTCCTCCAGAAAATACGAAGAAGGTAGAGGAAGAGCCCGCTGCTGAGCTTGCTCTTGGAGAAGAGGCCATCTCCAGCAGTATGGAAGTTGACCAAAATGAAAAGGATGAGCACGAAAGTCCTGCAGAACTTGTAGAAGCTGTCAGCAACAATGCCACTGAAGACAAGAAGGACACTGTTTTAGATAACGCAGATTCCATGGAAACAGATGAGATCATTCCTATTCTGGAAAAACTGGCACCCACAGAAGAGGAGGAACTCACTTGCTTTTCAAAGACTTCCCTCCTTCCAGTTGAGACAAGTCAAGATTTGGAGGAGAAAATGGAAGCTTCTTTTGGCTCACCATCAAAACAAGAAAGTAGTGAGAATTTGCCAAAAGAAGCCTTTTTGGTCCTCTCTGATGAAGAGGATATTTCATGTGGAAAAGATGAGTCCGAAGTTGTAGCACAAGATAAGACAAGCTCTCCAGGTTAGCTGATTAAGGATTTTATTTGCTTTAGGGAACTGTTTAATAGAACCTGCTCACTTAATGTTGATATTAGTGATCCTTGAATGACGTATTATAGAAATGCAGCTAGGTGTGATGGCATTAGGGGAGAAGAGGGAGAACCAAGGAGTTCAAGGTATGTGCGTGCAGGCGAACATGCGTGCAGGCGAACATGCGTGTAGGCAGTTACAGAGCCAGAAACAAGTGCTGAATCTCCAGAGTTGGTAGTTGTGACCTACCATGTGGGTGCTGAAAACCCAGCCTTGGTCTTCTGCAAGAGTAGCAAATGAATATTCAGCGCTAAGCCATCCATCACCCCTCTAGCCCCAAGGAAACTTCTTTCAACACAAAATAATCATCCACGGCCCTTGTACAAAAACATTGTATATAAACTGTATCATTTCAGGCAGTGTCAGGGATTTCTAAGCCCATCCATCCAAACACAAAGCTTCCTAGCTCTGCTGTACAAAGTACCTACCCCTATGTGTGGCGAGCCTGATCTGACACCTCTGGGCTTCTCAAGTACAGCCTTCTTTTTAAGTTGCTAAGTTTCCACAGTTCTAGCTTCTGTGAATGTGGCTCCAGTCTGTCAACACAGACAGTAAGATCACTAAAGATAGGTGACCAGATCTTACAGTTCTGGGAACTTCAAAACTTTTGAGAAAGGGCGCAAATAAAGCATTTACTATCTTCCTGACAGATACTACCTTTAATGACCAGAGAATGTACAGTCTGACACGGACACTTACTGTTGCCCTGTGCAGAAAAAACAATATTGTATGCAACATGTAAGCAAACGGGCTGGCCTCTATCCTAGCTACATGGTACAAAGCTCAGATGGGCCATAGTCTGCCAACCAGTCTTGCTTTGGATTGAATCCATAAGGATAATTAAAGCAAAACAAAGTCTTTCAGGCTACTTGAAATAATATACCCATTAAGGGGGAAAAAAACCCAGGATGTAACAGGTAATTCATATGTAAGCAATACAAAAGGCCAATAAACATAGATTTTTCAGTCTTACAAAATACACCAGGATAATGTAGTCTGCAGAAAATTTAACTTCTCCAGACATTTTCAAAGCTTGACAGCAATACAAAGATACAAATTCCATCTTCCACATCATTGGTTCTCAACCTCTAGGTTTCGACCCTTTTGGGGGTTAATGACCCTTTCATGGGGTTCACCTAAGATCATCAGAAAACACAAATATTTACATTATGATTCATAACAATAGCAAAATTACAGTTGTGAAGTTACAATGAAAAAAATGTCATGATTGGGGGTTACCACAATATGAGGAGCTGTGTATTAAAGGGCCATAGCATTAGGAAGGTTGGGAACACTGTTCACATGATATTTGAGAATAGCCAGGTTGGAGTCTAGCAAGGTGGAAATCCAAATTCAAGTAAGCTGAAGCCTTAATAGGAGAAGAAACAATGTGCTAGCTTTGTAAGTGTGACTGGAAATGTAGTTCTGACAGTGAGGGAGGATATGGGATAGCAATTGAAAGATTGTATATGATGAGATGCACACTCAAGTCAGACAGGAGGTAGACAGATAAGACAGTAAGGTAAGCTGTGTCTCAACTTCAGAAGAATTATACTAGCCTAGTCTCCTTAGAGTGTGACTCTAATCATTGGGAAAGTGTCATCTGTCATTTAGCAATATGCAACAGTTTGTCTCCAGATGTACTAGGACCACATTAGTTCTTCAATTTTTAATAAAAGTAGTATTTTTTCTATTTGCTTTGTTAATAGTTTGAGATAGGGTCTCATGTAGCCCAGGCTAACCTCAAACTACTTAAATCTTCCCAAAGGGCAGTTTGCTCAATCCGTAGAATGTTTGAACAGAAAGTTGAAGAATATAGGCCCTACTTCCTAGTAACAATCTGTTGACATTTTTTCCTAGCAGAGCTCTTTGTATGACACAATGGCATACACCCCAGTCCTTGTGATCTATACTAAAACTCAATGCATGTCAGAAGTGCCACGTGTCTAGAAGGCAGATCTGAAGAGTGGTCATTTAGCATGGAGATAATTGAGTTGTGTAGAATTTACAAGTATGTCATCCTTTACTACTGCATTAGTTATTGCATTTATTTATTGTAAGTTGGTGTGTGAGTGGGTGTCTGTCAGAGGGTAACTTGAGAGTCAGTTCTCTCCTTTAACCATGAAAGACCTGAGAATTGGTTGTCAGGCTTGCTAGCATGTGTTTTTACCCTCTGAGCCACCTTGCCAGCTCTGGCTTAGTTTTAACAGTTGAAAGTAAAGAAATCTGAATCCTATATGATAGTTGTTACTGGTGATAGAAAATTAAGTAAAATTGTTGGCTTTAAAATCTGTGTATTATTTTTCATGTTGAGCTTATTAGGAATAGTTTGAATGTGAACTTGCTCTTTAACTCCTCAGTTTGTGCTCTAGTATTCTCCTTTATTTTACAAAATGTTTGTTTGGTAGCTGAATGGTGACCAAAAATGTGAGTAACGAGCTGTTACTAACTCTACAAGTAAACAGAGTTCCCTTCTCCACATTTGTCCTAACAGAGGTAGAAAGGACTGGAAAGGGCAGCAAAGCTGAGGAAGAGGAAGAGGAGCGCGTGCCAGACGAGGAGCGGCCACCTGTGAGAAGTACGCACGTCCCAGCTCCTGCCTCGTGGTGTTGGCCGTAGGCACCTGCGATCGGCTGCCTTTTCTGCTCCACAGATAGACACACCTTTTTTGTTTTTTTGTTTTTTGAGACAGGGTTTCTCTGGGGCTTTGGAGGCTGTTCTGGAACTAGTTCTTGTAGACCAGGTGGTCTCAAACTCACAGAGATCCGCCTGCCTCTGCCTCTCGAGTGCTGGCATTAAAGGCCGTGCGCCACCAACGCCTGGCTACCCACACCTGTTTTAACTTTTACCACAGTTCACTAATCTTGTTGATGACCAGTTCAAGGACCTTTGGATGCATTATTTCGTGTATTTCAGAGTGTTTATAGTAATGGTTTCACAGGGAGGATTAGACTTACACTTGAAGGCACCACGTAAGTGTATTAAGCTGTTTCTTAAGTTCAGGGCAGGAGGATTTACGTTGCTCTTGTGAGAGGTGACAGATTCATAGTGAAGGAAGGAATGCTGGAGCTGATGCCGTAGACTGAGAAAAGGTTAGTCAGCCCGGGCTTCACTTTGGTTTATTGTGTCTGTATTCAAAGGCTGTAATGTAGAATTGCACTGAATAAATGCATAGATAGATGTGGATATATTTCTTTTTCCACTACTATGAGAAAACTGAACATAACTTTTGAGTGCCTCTCTACCCCTCATCTTGAACATTATTTTACAGATCAAAGGCAGTAGGTTTGGCTATAAAAGGTGTGGAATATTAGTGTTTTAATTTTTTTTCAAAGAGACAGGGTTTCACTGTTTAGTCTTGGCTGTCCTAGAACTTGCTTTGTAGATCAGGCAGCCTGGAACTCACAGAGATCCTCCTGCCTCTGCCTCCTGAATCCTGGGATTAAATGTGTGTGCCACCGACACCTGGCAGTGTTTTAATTTTTGAAATGCTGAAAAACCAGTTAATTTTTTTTCAATGATTTCATGAATGTTAACATTTGAAATGATTTTTTAGGTGAAATGTTTGAATGTCTATTCTGTGCCATTTGTACTTTTGTGACATTCATTTTACTATTTGTGTGTATCTGAGCTCTTAGGACATGTTTAGGGTATCTGTTAGAGTCACTGCTCAGGGCTGAATGACTAGGGAATAACTCAGTCAGTATGACTGCCATGCACCTGTTTTTACAGAGAAAAAAGAATTAAATAATTCAGAATATGCAAAAATAATAGAAGTCTGTGACATAGGGTGGCCATTATATGTTATTAAAGCATTCATATGTGCTGTGAAATTGAGCAGAGAGAAGAACATGGGAGGGAGGGAGGGCTCCTGTCATCTGTGAGCCTTCTCTCTCTGATGTGAGCATTTCAAGGAAAGAATGCTCCATGATTTCGGCGTGCGTTGCTGAGCAGTTAGGAAGGGTTCTCTGGGCATGGTCAACATGATCTCAGCTTTAAAGCTGGGCTTCGCGTGCCTGCTGGGAGCTTACACCGTGCAGTGCCTGACGACTGACACTGTGCTGGTGAGTCCTGTAGCTCAGACAGTGGACTGATCGATGGGGGACTTTGTTGTTATTCTCAGATGAGTTTTCCAGACGGAAACGTTCTAAATCAGAAGACATGGACAGTGTGCAGTCCAAGCGTCGGCGCTACATAGAGGAAGAATACGAGGCAGAGTTTCAAGTAAAGATTACAGCCAAAGGAGACATTAACCGGAAGCTTCAGAAGGTGCTGCACATTGAATTTCAATGTACCAGAGTGTCACTGTCTGTGTGTGTCAAGATTTCTAGCATGTTCCATTTATTCTGTGTTTATATATCCAGTTAGAACTTATCTAGTCAGCACTTGAAGACAATGACAAGCTATGAAATCTGTTATTATTTTGTTAACTTCATTTTAAAATGACTCTATTTGGCTACAGTTTTTTTATTTTAAAAGATGGTAATGGCTATTAAAATAAAAGGGAAATACGATATTTCTCTATTTGTTATAGTAAAACTGAATAGTTTTTTAGTTTTTCTCTTTTTTCCTGTATTGAACATTACCTTACAATGCAGAAGAAACAAGCTCTATTTATTTTAAATCTTTGTAGTAGACTTTAGTCTCTGTAATAGTCTTAATATAAGTTGGTACATTCTAAAACCCTTCTAATGTTAATATAAAGCATGATAGAGACAAGGCTTTGGACACACTAGAAAAATGGAATGTTTAGAGTAAAGATTTTCTGAAATTTCCCTCTATGTCTGTTATGCTAGCATACAAATATTGAAAATAACTAGTTACATGCATTTTCAAAATCTGAGACAGGGCAGACTTCTCCGAGGGTAAACTGTATGCAAGCATGAGAACCAGAGTTCTCATCCACCACACTCATGAAAAGCCACGCGTGGTGGTGTACTCTGGGAAGCTGAGGCAACAGCCTTCCGGGCTTCAGTGCCAGCCAGTCTAGGTAGTTGGTGAACTCCATCTCAGCCCCATGAGACCCTGTCTCAAAACAAGGTGCAGAGTGATCGTGGAAAACACCTGGTGTTAGCCTCTGGAGTCCATGGGCACACACACCTGCACATGCGTGCACACCACACATAGCCACATCAACACGCGTTCCTTTCACAGAGACGTGAAATGGGCGTCTGTTCCTCCCCACTGAGTCAGCAGTTCATGATAGCTTAGGCTGGAGCCCAGGCTGGCTTTAATCTTGCCTGTGTCCTCCTGCCTCAATTCCACTTCCAGGGCATGTGATTACAGGTGTGAGTCACCTAGTCTGGTTTCGTTTCTCAGGGTCTTAGTATTTAGTCATGAGTTAATAAACCGAAGTTCTTCCACTAAGATATAAGAACAAATAGTACAAATATCTGTGCTTTCTTTAAAAAGAAAATTTTTTAAAATAATAAAGCAATGAAAATGCTGTTCCTGCCTAGTTCCTTTTTCGAGTGCATGTTGAGGTAATAATGCACATATTGCTGTTAGAATTATGGGAGTTATGAACATCTGTGGGTGGGGGTTTCCATCTCTAGAACAGAATTCTCAGGGATAGTACATAGATAGGCAAGTGTCCTGTTTGTTGTGGTTCAGATGAAGCAATAGTTGAATTTTGAATAAACATTTAGAAATATTTTTATTAATTCTGATACTCCAGTGACATTTTTACTGCATCTCACAAAATTACCAGTCTTTAATGCATTTAAAAAATGTTGAAGCTGTTCTTTTTAACAAATTGTGTTAAAGTGTGCTCAGCATAATAAGGAGAATGAGGAGAAAAATACGCTTTGTATTGTTTTCAGAATTTCACTCTGGAAATGTAATCCTTTGCGTGGACTTCTGGTTTGAGATAGTGGTGAATGGCAGTAGATAGCATTGAATTTGGGATTTTATTCTTTAATTAGTTAATCTTGTTTGATTCATTAATTAAGTTTATATTATTGTTGTTAGTTCTTAATGTTTACTGGTTTTGTTTGCTGAATTGCCCTTTTGTAACATTGTAACAAAGAAATTTTTCCCCCTAGGTCATACAGTGGTTACTAGAAGAAAAGCTGTGTGCTCTACAGTGTGCTGTGTTTGATAAGACTTTGGCAGAATTGAAAACGCGAGTGGAAAAGATAGAATGCAACAAAAGACATAAAGCAGTTCTTACTGAACTACAGGTTTGTACACTGACATTAGCTTTATACTGTTTCATTTTCGTAATTTATTTTCTGATTCTATATAAGTGAAGGTGTCTTATTCTTGCTTGGGCTGCTGTAACAGAGCAATCCATAGCTGGATGCTGTGCCAACTGAAATGTATTACTTCACAGTTGAAGACTGGAAACCCAAGATAAGGGTGCCGGCAGGTGATTTCTCTGAACTGCAGTATTGAGGAAGAATGCACACCATATCTCTTCTCTTAGATAGTTGCTGACAGCTCTGAAGAGGCCTCATTTCCATTCGTGGCTTTGCCTTCATATGGCATTTTCTCTATGTGTCTTTTATATTCAAATTTCTCTGTATTTGAAGGTACCAGTTATATAAATTAGATTAGTAGGGAACCACACCAGTTCAATAGACTTCATATTGATTGATTATTTTTTGCAGTGACCCTTTAGGTACTGTGGTTGTAGACTTTATGATATGAGTTTTGGCATAATTTAACTCACATGAGAGGCTCAGAAATTATCTCAATTGATACTTAAAAGATTGATACTTGTCACTGAAGAAAGGTTGGTATTCAGCATACTATAGATACAAAATAATATTTGTGAAGGATTATTTTTGTATCTGTCTACTTCCTCTGTGGATATTATAATGATGTTAGTTTATAGTGCTGGAGAGATGACTCAGTGGTTAAGAGCACTGGCTGCTCTTGCAGAGGACTTGGGTTCAGTTCTTAGCACCACATATTGACTCACAACTGTCTGCAACTCCAGTGGGAATCTAATACCTTTTACTGGCCTTCTTGGGCACAAGACATATACATGGTATATGTACATATGTGCTGGCAGAAACATTTATACACATAGCTTTTTAAAAAGATTTTAGTTTACTAATCCATATTAAAGAGAATACTTTCTTCTATATATAGTTGAGGATGCTCTAGGACTTCTGTATAAGCATACACCACCACATCTGTTTTTGTGGTGTTAGGAGTTGAACCCAGGGCCTTGTTCGTGCTAGGCAAACACTTTACCAACTCAGCTCTCACTACCCATCCCCTGCTCAAATTCTTCTTTATTCAATCATTTCCTCAAACAAGCTGTGTAGAATATTCCCTAATAATTCTTCAAGGAGAATGAAAAGGATGTATAATGATTGGTCTTTTTTGTTAGTATTATAATTAACTTCTTTATCCTAACTTTGGCTTAAATTCTACTTCATCAGATAACATATGTAGCTACTCCAGCTTGATTTCGGGTATCATTTGCTTGGAATATCATTTTCCATCCTTTTACATTAATTCTATATCTTTGTCAGTGTGATGTGTTTCTTGCAGGCAGTAATCAGTTGGATTTTTTTTCCTGTTTTAATCTAATCAGCCTGTTTGCATCTTTGAACTGGAGAGTAAAAATGATTTACATTTATTGCTAAGAATTATATTCTCATCCCTGGAATTCTGTCTTTTTCCATGGTCCCAGCTCTTCAGTTGATTTGAGTACTTTTTTTTCCTTTCTCTCTTACTCATCTTAGACGTTTGCTAAGCCACTATATTGAATTTGTTTTATTAATTCCTAATCCTGTTTGTCATACAGTCTCATGGAACTCATTTTTTCTAAGCTTTTGTGACTGTGACTTTCTTCTTTGTGTTTGTAAGATTTTCTTAATTTTTAAAATTTTTATTTAAGTAGTTATGGTTTGATTTAGTGTTTGTTCATCTTAGAATGCATCTGCTCCATTAGAATTTAGAGGATAACTTTTCTGCATATTGTAACCTGTTTAATAGTAATTTACCTGAAATATGTCATCCCATGCTTGTTTGGATTTTAGGTTTTATACTGTAATAAAATTATAATGAATCTGCCTTTGAAAGATGGCTCTTTACTTTTGTAGCTATCTGCATTCTTTGTTGAGTACTCTTTTTTTTTTTTTTTTTTTGGTTTTTCGAGACAGGGTTTCTCTGTATTGTTTTGGAGGCTGTCCTGGAACTTACTCTGTAGACCAGGCTGGCCTCGAACTCACAGAGATCTGCCTGCCTCTGCCTCCCGAGTGCTGGGATTAAAGGCGTGCGTCACCAACGCCCGGCTGTTGAGTACTCTTGATAATTTATTTTAACTATAATGTGACACGAGTTTCTTTCTGGTCATACCTGATTAGTTTTCTAAATACCTCCTATACTTGAATTTGTTTTATTACTTCCTAATCCTGTTTGTTCATACAGTCTCATGTCTTTTTCTAAATCAGGGTAATTTTCTACTATAATGTGATTGAATAGATTTTCTGTGCTTTTAGTTTGCATCTCAGTTCCTTCTTACCCTGGGGATTAAGTTTGGTCTCTTGAGTTCCTGTAAGTTGTGGTTATAGTTATTATTCTTACTATTTTCCTTTATTGTTAAATGAATTTAAGATTTCCTTACCTCGTTTTCAATCCCTGATATTCTTTCTTTTGATTGATGTCTTTGAGTGATGCATCCCCCTGAGTTTTAGAATTTTTATTGACCTTTTTATTTCTAATATTTCCATGAACTTTGTATTATTCTGTTTGTTAAATTTGATTTTGTTATCTAAACACCAAATTTGCTTTGCTTCATTTAACTTAATTTTGTTTTTCATTGAGGTGATTTTTCTTTTTAAAATTAGATTTTTGAATTCTTTGGCATTTCAATCATTTTATTATCCTTAGATTCAGTTATTAAAGGGTCATTAACTTTTGGAGGACTCTTCATATCTCTGTGTTTCTACATTTTAATGTATCTGTTGATTGATACCTCTGGTTTCATGTTTTAGCTGACTGCTTTCTCTTGAGGGTTCTGTCTCTTCTGAGAAGAGAGTATACCACAGTAACAATTGCTCTTTAAAAAAGAACTCGATGTTTAAACTTTTATGGCTTTTATTTATTTATTTAGTTGTGTGTGTATGTTATCTATATGTGTATGCCTGTGTGCATGTATACATGGTGCACATATGGAATCAGGACAGCTTGCAGAGGTAAATTCTGTTAAGTGGGTCTGGGGAATCCAAGTGCTGAGTAATCTTGTGTCTGGGCCTTCGCCATAGACACAATTCAGCCATAGTATTATCACGCCTTCTTCATTGAGAAGACGTGACTCTAGGTCACATTGCTGAAATACCACTTCTCAAGATAGGAAGCAAGTTCCTAGGAAACAGACCTGTGGCTTATCTGCCTAGTCACTAGGGTATAGGCTTGAACAATAGAAGGTGGAATGTGAAAGATAAAGTTAGAGTCTGCAGTTAGGTTACCAGAGGACACAGGATGACCTACCCCTCCCACTGACCTTTGCTCCACGAGGCTCATTGCAGCTGCAGCACACCCCCATTCCTTCCCCTCCTCCCTCCCCCTGTATAAATCTCTTTGGGGTTAAATAAAGCTGTCGCCTTGATCAGACACTTGTCTTGCCATCATTTTCTCATATCTCCTGCCCCCCATCTGTCTTTCTCCTAGGTGTCCTCCAGTGCCCAAGCTGAATGTCCTGCGGGTTGGGGCAATCTTGCACAACAAAATCCTTAAATATAGTGAAATAACAACAGAGAAACATCTGTTCTCATACTTGGGTAGAAGAGCAGAAGCCCAGGGCACATATGATAAACTCAGGACTTTAAATAAGACATAGTTAATTAGAAATAGAAAAGGGAATAGGGAAAAGACAGACCTGTTCTGGTGTGTTTTCTCCCAAGCTTGTCAGATGGCAGTTCACTTGCTTTAGAAGGCAGTGTCATTGTCATTGAACTCTTTCTCTGTGAATTACAAGCAGGTTAGACCTGAAAGGGTTGTTTGCTTTCTGAGCTCCTCTAGCTTTTGAAAGGATAATTCTGTTGTAGTCAGTAAAGTGTTTCTGAAAAACGTTTCCTCACACAGAATTCCACTTCTGTGAATGACTAACCCTAAAGAAATATTCTAAAAGAATGAAGCTATCAAGCCATCAATTACAACTTATATGACAGTAGCAGGGCACTGGGAAACATTCACCTTATTCAGTGGATATATATCAGCCTCTATCTAGTACAGCAGTTCTCAACCTGTGGGCCGTGACCCTGTTGGGGGGTGTCACATATAATATGCTGCATATCATGCATTTAAATTACAGTTCATAACATTAGCATAAATTACAGTTATGAAGTAACAGTGAAATAATTTTATAGTGGGGGGGTCACCACAGCATGAGGAACTGTATTTTTTCTTAAAGATTTATTTATTATTTATATAGTGTTCTGCCTGCATGTATGCCTGCATGCTATAAGAGGGCACCAGATCCATGAAGAACTGTATTAAAGGGTTGCAGTGTTGGGAACATTGAGAACCACCACCTAAGTAGAAAAGTTCACGTACAAATGAGTCAGTACAGTACTTAGATATCCAAGTAGTTTTGTCAGGGGATCTCTTAGGACTTACATGTATGCCTGTATGTTTTCAGTAAGAAAAATAAGTGTGATTACAACCATTTTGTAAAATAACTGCAAATGAAACCATATTTATTCAAAAAATATTCTGTTGAAAGTAAACACATGTAGTTGTGGGTTAGGGCAAGCTGGTCTATTAGTATTTACACCTGGCGATTATTTCAGGAGCCATGTGGGTTTCCTATGATTTTCTGTGTTTTCCAAGTATGTATTTTGCAATCAGCTTGTCTTACTTTGTTCTAAAGAGCCTGTTATCTAGATTTCTCTTGTGTATAGCAGACTTATGAGGAGTTACACAACTTGACTTTTGTTTGTTTTCTAGGCCAAAATAGCCAGATTAACCAAACGTTTTGGAGCAGCCAAAGATGATCTTAAGAAAAGACAAGAAGTAAGGATTGCTCTTCTAGCTGTGTTTGTTGCTTTAGTGTTCTATTGCTGTGAAGATATTCCATGACCATGGCAACTCTTGCAATGGAAAAACCAATTGGGGCTGGCCTACAGTTTCAAAGGCTTGGTCTGTTATTGTCATGTGGGAAACATGGCAGCATATTGGCAGACATGGTGCTGGAGAGTTCTACATTTTGATGAGCAGGCAGCAGGAAGAGAGGGTGACACTGGCCCTGATTTGAGCATTTTAACACCTCAGAGCCCACCCTCAACAATACACTCCTTCCAACAAGGTCATTTCTCTTAATAATGCCACTTCCAGGTGCCCAAGCATTCAAATCTTTGAGCCAGTGGGGAACATTCTTATTCAAATGACCACATTCCATTCCTTGGTCCCCATAGGCTTGTAGCCTTTTCATAATGCAATACATTCAATCTAATAACAGCCCCAGTACAGTTTAAATGTCCAAAGTTCAAAGTCTCTTCTAAAACTCAACGCAGTCTCTTAAGTGTAATCCCTGTAAAATTAAAATAAAAAACCAAGTCACATTACTTAGCAATGGCACAGGATATATGTTACCATTCCAAAAGGGAGGAAAGGGAGTATAAAGTACTGGACCAAAGCAAGCCTGAAAATCAGCTGGACAAACTCCAAACTCTGCATCTCCTTCTGATGTCAAAGTACTTTTCAGATCTCAAGCTCCTTTGAGCTTTGTTGACTGCAGCACACTTTTCCTCTTGGGCTGGTTCTACTCCCTGTGAGCAATCCTTGACAGGTGTCCCATGATTCTGACATCTCCAACATGTTGGGGTCTCCAAGGCAATCCAGCCTTCACCTTCACAGCTTCATGCAATGTCTTCTGTGGGCCTCCATGGAGGGCCACATGGACCAGTGGCTTTCCTTAGCTGCAGAGGGAGATTCCACACCTCTTATGTCCTCAACTCTAAAGCCAGAAGAACCACGTGGTCAAAGCTGCCAGATTCTGTTGCATGCTAGGACTGGACCATGTCCCTCTCATTCAGTAACATCTTCACCACCTTTCTGTTTTTGATTGTTTCTTTCACTGCCTAAGCTTGACTATTCTGGAACTTACTCTTTATCTTTAGACAAGGCTGTCTTCTTGACAGTTTGGGAAATTTGAGATTTATGAAGAAAAACTTCCACAAGAAAACAGGGAAAGACAAAAGTAGTGATGTCTGACTCTGCAGTGTTTTCCTATTGTATTAGTTAAGTGAGGGATCATGTACTGAGCAAGTACTTGAATGTCTTTTTTAAAAACAGTTCCTGTATATTGAAATTTGTATTTGACTTTGGTATTTCCCCCTCTTTCAGAGCCCTCCAAACCCACCTATATCACCAGGAAAGCCTGCCAGTGATGTCAGCAGCAATAACAATGTGACCTACAGGTAAGAACTATGGTCCGTACATCCTGCTTAACTTAGCAAGGTTAGTCTTGGTGTGTAATTGTAAATGCCTGTGCAGTCGTGAATGAGTCATGTCATAGTTGCTTTTCTCCTTCCCCTTTATATATTTTATGTATTGTTTTTGTTAATTATTAGAGTGTTTTCTTTTGTTAGGACCTTATTTTTGCTTTTGCAGTGTTGAGGACTAAATCTAGAGGCCACCCCTCCCCTAAACCCTATATATTTCTTTAAGAACTTGTCATTAATAGTTTTTGGGTTTTTTTTTTTTTTTTTTTTTTTTGGTTTTTACGAGACAGGGTTTCTCTGTATTGTTTTGGAGGCTGTTGGTCCAGCCCGGCCTCGAACTCACAGCGATCCGCCTGCCTCTGCCTCCTGAGTGCTGGGATTAAAGGCGTGCACCACCACCGCGTGGCGTCATTAATAGTTTTTAACAATTGAAAACTGCTTTGGTCAGTGATAAGAATGTACCTTCCCAGCTGGGTGGTGGTGGCTCACTCCTTTAATCCCAGCACTCAGGAGGCAGAGGCAGGCGGATCTCTGTGAGTTCGAGACCAACATGGTCTACAAGAGCTAGTTCCAGGACAGCCTCCAAAGCCATGGAGAAACCCTGTCTCAAAAAAAAAAAAAAAACAAAAACAAAACAAACAACAACAAAAAAAGAGCGTGCCTTCCCTTGTATTCAGTCTTTAGGTAACTGACAACAGTCGAATACGGATAGGGACTCTAGTGCAGTGTTCTCTGACATGGCAGTCTGTGTACCAACTGTGGCCTCAGGGACTGGGTGCAAATCCCAGATCTTACCCTTTCCCATCAGTGGCCACTGTTTTTCCTGTGCTTTAGTGGGTTCCCCTAGGATGGCATAGCCATTGACTGCACATGTATCTGTTTCCTAGAAATGCAGGCACAGTCCGACAGATGCTGGAGTCCAAAAGAAATGTTAGCGAGGGTCCACCATCATCCTTTCAAACTCCTGGGAATGCAGGTAACTTGTTTTTTAATACCAAAAATATATTTTCTTGGGACCTACTATCTTTGGTTCTCTTATATTCTTTTGTGGTTGGAAATGGGTTAGAAAACAGGATGCTTTGGTGTAAACATGAATGCCTTTAAAACAGTTTCAGACTGTAGACAGGTACACATGAAAAGATAGACATTGAGGTTCCTAGTGTAGTACTTCTCAGACTTTCTCATCTCTGGCCCTTTAAGTCTCATGACATTAGTAAGAACTGGAGAGAATTTTTGAGTTACAAACTAATTGGTACTATCAATTGAATTAAAATAAAAATTAAGGACTTTTGTTTACCTAAAATTAATAATAAGCCCAGAGGCAGGCGAATCTCTGAGTTTGAGGCCAGCCTGGTCTACATAGTGAGTTCTAAGACAGCCAGGGCTACATAGTGAGCCCTTGTCTTGAGTAAACCAAAAACCACACAGAAATAAATTAATGATAATCTGTGTGCACACAAAGAAACTTTTTAAAAATAGAAAATAACTATAGTTTTAAAAAATTATCAGTCAAAGGGCAGAGATCTGAGTTTTATTTCTAGAAGCCACACTAAATAAATAAACAAAGGCAGCTGCCACACATGGCTGTCCCAGTGGTAGAGGAGGGGACCAGGCTCTGGCCGGCCAGCCTACGTGGGGAGCTGCAGGCCGGTAAGACCCTGTCCCAACAAAGGAAAAAAAGGGAGACGGACAGTGACTGCCACCAAGATGAACAAGACTGTGTGTGCAGGTGCCCATGACTGAATAAAAATACTGAAAGAGAAATGGCACTTGAGCTGTCCCCTGGCCTCCATGTTCATGTACACACATGAGCATATGTGGACATGTGTAAATGTCAGTGAAAACTGGGATGTGTTGCCTTTTACATATTTCTTTAAATCTTGGGTAAGATGTTAAACAGCTAAAGCTGGCTGGATTCTCACGTCTGTAGTGGCTGCTTTCAATGTCTTCCAGTCTGCTGACATCTAACACGAAAGGAGTGCAGCCTCAGATGGACAGATGGAAACAGGGTGGATAGCTGGACAGATGGAAACAGGGTGGATAGCTGGACAGATGGAAACAGGGTGGATAGCTGGACAGATGGAAACAGGGTGGATAGACGGACAGATGGAAACAGGGTGGATAGCTGGGGACTCCCCTTTGGTGGTAGCTCTGTGAAGCTAGTGCAGACTAGAGTCAGAAATCGTATGCTTTTCTCGTTGTTTTTGTAAGTCACTCTTTCAGGGGAGTAGGTCCTGCTAGGCATTGTAAGTACAGACCTGTAATTACAGAACTTATCAGGCTATGGCAGGCAGATGGTAAGTTCAAGGCCAGCCTATGATTTTACTTGAGGATGGGACATAATAAAAATTGTAGTTTTTATTACTTCTTTATGGACATTTTTAAAGTGGAATTTACTTTTAAAATACTGTAATAAGCATTCATTAGGGAAGAGGTTAGTGTGACAGGAGTATTTGGTGTCTCTGTACTACCTTGGATTTTGTAATTTTTCTCCTGACCACAACTTCATTTTCCATTGTTTGTCACCATGGTCTATGGATATCACATGGAACATTCCACTAATAATTCATATCTTTTATTGTGATAATTGCTTTATTATTCTTTACTATGCCTAATTTCCAAATTAGTGTACAATTTCTAATTATGGTCATGACGTTTCAGTGAGTTGCGAATGCATTTAAAACAGTTATCCGGTGAGATCATAAAGGAATTCTTGTCAGCTGCTGAGGCCGTAGCCATTTCACTATTGTAGATAGTCACTCAGCATGTTACTCCTTAGTGCGCCATGTTCATGTGAGCAGAGCTATAGCTCTGTGAGCTATACAGACTGTAGTAAATAGAGTTGTGTGGGATACTGAACACAACTATTTACTCTATTAGTATTACCAGTAGTGTACTGTAAACTGATGATGCCATTTTATGCTTGTAGTAGCTGCATATATTTCCTACTTACTGTCTCTTGACCCATTGAATGATTGATGTATCCCAGCTAGATTTATACAGTCTTGTGATCATATAGTATTGGAATTATTTAGTGACACATTTCTCAAAACATTCCCATGTTGTTAAGGTTTACATGTACATAGGAAAAGACGTGGTGTGTGTAAAGTTCTCTATTCTCTGTCTTAGGATATAATTTCCAGAAATACGGACCTGCTGAACTAAGCCAGCAGCCATTTTACCTTTTGCCCACAAAGTGCAAAAGTCAAATGTCTCATTACTATTATGAAAATAGCTTTGACATTGTAAAGTCCTTGCAAGGTTCCCAGGAAACTAGAGGTAGCTCTCTGCACTCACTGAGAATTACTGCTCTGGTGTGTCTATGATTTTGGAAAAACTAGATATCTGAGTAGTCAATTAAGTTATAGTTTAACCCTATTCCAGTGAGACTAAACCTAAGTAGTTAGTTGAGTCAAAAGCTACTGTAACTCTCTGGAGTCTGCACTTACTCTTTTCCCTCTTTGGCTTGTTCCATTTCTCAATTTATTTCCATGTTTGCTTAGTTTCCTCTGTGTCAGCAGTGTGTACAGCGTCTCCTCTAAAGGCTCCTTCTCCCACGATGAGTTCTTTCCCTAGGAACTCAGTGAGACAGCCTCAGCGTCACTCACTAATGGCCACCGCTTTCCCTATTTCCTACCTGAGCTGGGTAGTGTTGGTGTTTAAGCCATTTACACTGTTTAGAATGAGGTTTAAAAAATACCTGCATATTTTTACTGAGTTTTCAGTTTTTTTTTAGTTGCTTTTCCAGTTAGTTCCTCTGAAGTGAGTGTTGTAATTTTCAAGAGCTGTTTTGATACTAAGATAGCAATCTTGAGTATTAACATTAAATCATGTGGCATTTTTATAAAGAAACCAAGTGTACATGCAAAATCACCTCTAAACATTTCAGTGTTTTTGAACTTAACCCTGAACATTATTTTGCGATGGTTTTGCTATGTAAACTATATATCTGTGACTTATTTTTGCTGACTAATTACGGCAGCGATCGAGACTGAGACTTGTGTTTTCTCTGCAGTGTCTTCAGCCAGCCTTGTGACTCCTCCAGCAATCGTCAGCAGTCAGCCTAAACTGCAGCCTTCAGCGAGCTCAGGTTCTCTGCCGGCAGCCTCTCTTCTTCCCGCTCCCAGCACAGCCACAGTAGTTGCCAGTACTCAGGTGCCTAGTGGAAACCCTCAGCCTACAATCTCCCTGCAGCCCTTGCCAGTGATTCTGCATGTTCCCGTTGCCGTGACCTCTCAGCCTCAGCTCCTACAAAGCCATCCAGGAACTATCGTGACGAATCAACCGTCTGGCAGCGTTGAATTCATATCTGTGCAAAGCCCACCGACAGTGAGTGGGCTTACCAAAAATCCAGTATCCTTGCCACCCTTGCCAAACCCCACTAAACCAAACATTCCGTCAGTGCCCAGTCCTAGTATTCAGAGGAACTCTTCTGCCACTGCTGCGCCCTTGGGGACAACACTCGCTGTTCAGGCCGTCCCGACCGCACATTCTATTGTGCAGGCCACAAGGACTTCTTTACCCCCAGTAGGCCCATCAGGACTGTATAGCTCATCAAACAATCGTGGCCCCATACAGATGAAAATCCCAATATCCGCTTTTAGCACTTCATCTTCTGCAGAACAAAATAGCTCTGCCACCCCAAGAACTGGTAAGTTGGTTTGCTTAGTAACAGAAACAAAAGCTCTTTCTAGCATCATTGGAAAAATGGGGTAAACAGAATTTGCTTGATTATTTATAGTAATTTCCTGAATATCTAGTGATAAATGACACCACTAAAGTGGAGTATAAGAGAGGTTTATTTCACTGGGCTTTCTTATGAGGAGTAATATTTGTATAGCCTCATGGGATCTGTCACAATTTGATCCATGTAATGGTCAGTTCAGGATGCTGAACTCTACTTTAAAAAAAAGTTTATGTGTTGGAACTTTAATGTTTTTTTCTTTATTTCATAGATGACTTTAGCCAGTAGTCTTAAAAACCAGAAGCGACTCCTCTTGCCTCACTCTCTCAGTGCCCAGACACTTGCCGTCTTCTCCCCTCTGCCCTTCCCTGTCTAAAAGATTGGGAAGTTAGCATTGCTATTTCATTTTTTAGTAATTATCTCATTTTGGTCGGTTTTTATACAGGCTTTGTAACAAGCGTTGTGTTATTTTTTATTTCTTTTTATGATAGATTTGGTGGGCCAGGAAAATTGAGTAAATATATTTTAAGTATCTAACTTCAGAAGTTTAATGCAAGAGAGAGTTAAAAACCATATATCACCAGGAAGTGGTGGCGCATACCTTTAATCCCAGGACTTGGGAGGCAGAGGCAGGTAGATCTGTAGGTTGAGGCCAGCCTGGTCTACAGAGAGCTCCTGGATAGCCAGGGCTACACAGAGAAACCCTGTCTCAAAAAAAAAAAAAAAAAAAAAAAAGAAGAAAGAAATTCTTTGGCCATGCCTAATTTCAGGGATGCCATAAATTATAGTAGTCATTTGTCCTTTTAGACCACCCATAGTTTAAGCTGGAATCAAGTGGCAAATTTTTGCTGAATATGAAAAATGAAGTTAGATTATATATGCTTATAACATTATTACATATTAATTAGTAGATCATATAACTAAAAGTTGCAATGTCTTATATTTATAAACATGTATTTACTTAATAAAATATGTGCTATATAATTAGATTACATTTGTATATCTTTGTTACAGGTCATCATATCCTTAATGGATTTTAAGTAAATAGTTCTTGTTTATAATGAAGTAGATATCCTTTAGGGTTAAATGGTACTTTATTCCTTCAAGAAATAATTGGTGCTTGTAATTTTCTAACGTCCTGCAGGCACATAGAAACATGTAAGGCAGTCCTTTTCTCACTAACTCTATAGATTAAATATGAAGCCTTGCCATTAAATAGGTAGTTATAAATGTAATAAATGTTAAAGTAGGCTCTTTAAGAAGATGTAGAGGGGGATGAGAGTCCTTGAAAGGTATGGGCTAGACACCTTACGAGGGAATGGTAACATTACACAATTCTTTAGTGTATGGGGGAGTGTGGCATCCATGAATATTGACCGCTGAGTGGAAAATGGTTTGATAGAGATAGCAATGAATTTAGGTCGACCAAATGCTGAGGCAGGAGCAGTCCATTAGATGACAAATGCTGAGGCAGGAGCAGTCCATTAGATGAGAATTGGAAGCATTAAAGTGCAGAAGAGAAGAAGTGGCCTCATTTGATGATGATCTCTTGATAATTTGTTACTGTAAGACCAAACAGCAAGGGCTGCAGAGATGGCTCAGCAGTTACGACTCCTTGCTCCTCCAGAGGCCCCAAGTCGATTCCTAACACCCAGAAAGCAGCTCAAAATCATTTAACTCCAGTCCCAGGGATCCTGTGCCTTCCTCAGGACTCTTTGGGTACCAACACTTGCACATGGTGCTCAGGCATACTTGAAATAAAACATTCCATGCAAAAAAAAATCATTTTTTATAAACATGGTTTGGACTTGCTTTTTAAATGTGTGTGTGTGTGTGTGCGCGCACACATGCACGCACATGTGAGGACAGAGGGTGTCAGTTTGCTTAGAGCTGGAGTTAATTCATTATGAGCTACTTGGTAGGGTGTTGGAGCCTGAACTCTGGGTTCTCTGCAGGGGCACTCTGTGCTCCTGGTTTGGACTTCTAAAGCTTTCAGTGTTAGTCTCATTTAGTAAGATAGCTTTTTTTTCCACATTTAAGATTTATTTATTATGTATACAGTGTTCTGTCTGCATGTATGCCTACAATCCAGAAGAGGCACCAGATCTCATTACAGATGGTTGTGAGCCACCATGTGGTAGCTGGGAATTGAACTCAGGACCTCTGGAAGAACAGCCAGTGCTCTTAACCTCTGAGCCACCTCCCCAGCACAGTAAGATAGCTTTTAAGAGGTTGATTTGTAAAGGAGTTATGTTGTTGTATAGAATTTACTGAACATCTCTCATTCCAAAATATGAGGAAACTAGAGTTTAAATAATACTAAGCAGTTACTTCTTCACCCATAATTTCTTTGGAGTTTCTGCAAACTCTCTGCCTCCCATTTCTACTCATATAATTATCCAGACCTACCATCGGATACTGCCACGTCGTACCTGTAAATGCTAAGACTGCAGTAGAGAGATGGCTCAGCAATTAAGAGCATTTGCTGCTCTTGCAGAGGATCTGGGTTCAGTTCCCAGCACCCACATTGCAAAACTTAACAACTGCCTATAATTCTAGCTCCAGAGGATTGATTGACACCCTCTTATGACCTTCAGAGGCATCTGCATATTTGTGGTACACATTCAAGACAGACAGACACACACACACACACTACACATAAAAATGAAATGCTTCTTAAAAATGACCAGCTGGTATTAAATAATGTAATCCACCAAGCAGGTGATAAAATAACTGTGTCCAAGATGATAGAAAGGTTTTTAAGCTAAAATTTCATTTCACAGCCAGGCGTTGGTGGTGCACGCCTTTAATCCCAGCACTCGGGAGGCAGAGGCAAGTGAATCTCTGTGAATTCACGGACAGGCTGATCTACAGAGCGAGTTCCAGGACAAACAGCCAAGGCTACACAGAGAAACCGTGTCTTAAAAGAAAATAACAACAACAACAAAAAGTTTTGGATACTTTTAGCCTGTAGTTAAAAGGGTAGGGCATATTGAAAATCTAGAGAAAGGAATATTGTTACTGTTTTGTGAATAATTGACTTGTTATGCTAAGAATAGAATCGTTCTGATTAACAAAACAGCATTATGTACACACACACACACACACACACACACACACACATACATTTAGTGTGTATGTAAAGAAACAAAAGGGCTGGAGAGATGGCTCAGAAGTTAAGAGCACTGACTGCTCTTTCAGAGGTCCTGAGTTCAATTCCCAGCAACCACATGGTGGCTCCAAACCATCTATAATGAGATCTGGTGCCCTCTTCTGGCCTACAGGTGTACATGCAGGCAGAACATTGTGTTCATAATAAATAAATAAAATCTTTTAAAAAAAGAAACAAAAAGTCTGATGTTTTGGTAATATTGCCTGTGTATATTAATTCTTTAGCATGTAAGACAAGTAACCTAGAATTAGTTTTATGGTAAAAGTCTTACAGGAAATTTACATAGAAAACATTTTTGTATATATGTATTTATTGTTTTTGAGACAGGGTCTTACATAGTTCTACCCGGCAGGCCTGGAACTTGCTATGTAGATCAGCTAGGCCTCTGTCTCATAGAGCTCTGCCTGCTTCTGCTTCCCAAGTGCTGGGATTAACGATGTGCACCACTACACCCTGCCAGTTTTAACAATTTTTAAAAAGTGCATTTATATTAATACGTTACTTCTCCAACATGTGGGTGTTTCTCTTAATTGATTCCTTAAATGTAGAATTATATATGCAATATACACAGCTTTATCAGTTTTCAGGCATAAGTGGTCCAATCTGTATATGTTCTGAGGGTTTGAAAAGAACAGGAATACCATACTTTGACCAAAAAATTGTTTATCTCTGGAAAGAAGATGGGATGTTTTGACATAAGAACACTCTTGATAATGCAACTAATTATTATCAAAGAATGAAAGTGAATCCCTTCAATGGATGGAAAAGCTATTTTATAAGCTCTTAAAGTTTCTCTTCTGCCTATAGAAACTGGGCAGGGACATGCTTGCTTTTCTGTTTTCATGTATATAACAATTTTCCCCTGGAAACTTGATGCCAGCTAAATGCAAATGAACACAGGAAGTAATCTGGGTGGGTGTGACTCAGTAAGCTGTCTGCTGCTCAAGCTCCAGGACCCCAGTTCAGAGCTGGGGATTTACACAGAAGCCAGCGGAGCGACGCAGATACGGGCGGATTCCTTGAGTTCCTTGTCTAAGAATCAGTGAACTCCAGGTTCACTGAAAGACTGCCTAGAAAAATAAGGTGGTGGGCTGTAAGGGAGACAGCTGGCGTCAACCACAGGCCCCCAGACATAGCTGTGAACAAGTGTGTGCACCCGCACAAAGTAATCTGTGCATATGTGTTCCTCATGGCTTCTGTAACCTGCAATGAATTTATCATGAACACTTTTGATCCAAGATCTTCCCCCAGCGATTTTCACATCTTGTGAAAGAATGATGCTTCACTTAAGTGTGTTCTCATCTTGGAACATTCACATTGTACAAATGTTAAATTACAGTTCCCAGGTATTCTTTAGGATAGGTTAAGTTGCTGGAGAATGAGTGTTATAATTTAAAAGTATATGAAGCTTCTGATCTGTGAGAGAAACCATCTGGGACATGCTGATAGAAAAATAGTTGGAGAAGAATATGGAAATTATTATACATGTGTTAAATTTCCCCCCTTTTTTTAATTCTCAGAAACCCAGACAAACAAAACAGTAGATTCTTCTGTTAATAAGAAAGTGGCAGATAGCACATCACAGGTAAGATTGTCCCCTTTACCTCAGAGTTCTGTTATGATCAACAGAAATTATGATTTCTTATATCTTTAATTGCAGGTTGTAGGTTTTTGGTTTTATTGTTGTTGTTTGTTTTTTTTGGAGACAGGATCTTATGTAGCCCAGGCTAGTTTCAAACTCATGAATGTAAGTTTTCTGTTCCTTTTCCTTCGGGAGGCCTTTGTTGTACTTTTGTTTTAGTTTAGTGGACTTTAATAAGTCATCAGCATTTGAATGAACTGTTCAGTGCAGCAAGGACTCTACAGCAAGTAATTTCCCTGTTTGTATTCAACATTTTCTTTTCTCTGTTGATTTCAGTGGTGTCATTGTGCTTTACATGGGAGTAAATTTCTTTTTTTACTTTTTAAATTTAAAGTAGAAACAAGGTTGCTTCACATGTCAATCCCAGATCCCTCTCCCTTTCCCTCCCCTCCCCTCCTCCCACACCCTCCCACCAACTCTCCCAATACTCCCTCCTTTTCCCAGGAAAGGTGAGGCCCTCCATGGGGGGGGGGGGATGCATTTCCTAGTGTTCTGCTTGAGGTTCATTGCAACTTTTCAATTTGTAAATGCTTTTCTTCAGATTTTTTTGGGTGTCATTATTTCTTCACATACTCAGCTTTCCTTCCCCTCACTTAAAAGGTTATTTGTTTGGGGGTATGGCAAGGTCCACTGGGAGAGTAGAGGACAGCTAATGGGAGTCAGTTTAGTCTAGCTAGGTGCTGGGGGTGCAACTCAAGCATTGCACTGGCCCTCAGTCAGATTTTTGTTGAACTGACACTTCTTTTGTTTTATTCTCTCTTCCTTGGGCTGGAAAAATTCTCTTGATGGCTCATCAATTTCACGGAGTTCATCTGCATCTTATAAACTGCCTTTGAGCCCAGCCAGATGACTTTTAACATAGTTGATATTCTTTGAGAATTCTATACATGTATACAATGTTTTCTGATCACATCCACTCCTCCTAGGTCCCCCCCAACACATCTCTTCTCAATTTCATGCCCCTCCCAGATAACCCACAGTCCCAGTTACTGCTGCCCATGTGTGCATGGGGGTGGGGTTAACCTGCAGTGGCTGCACCCTCTTCCAGTGGCCACCAACTGCTCCTAATGCCTTAGCTAGGGCAGGGCCTCATGAACCCTTCTTTACCCTTGCTTGACTTGACTGGCGGGACCTTAGGGTCTCTTGCTGTAGGCTGTCACAGCCTGTGTGGTCATTACCAAACTGCCGTGTCTGTGCAGAAGGCAGTGTTCCCAGCACTCCTCCCGTCTCTTCTCATCATCATTCCCAGCTCCTGGCCTAGGGTGGTGGGAGGCAGTCTCTCTCATGAGGCCTTTAACTAGTTTTGTATTAACAGCTGTCTGGCAAAGAGAAGGTTCTCTGACCAAAATCAAGAGCAGTAAAAATCATGGCTAAAACAGAAATATTTAGAAGACGGTTTGATAGTTTAGCAAATGATAATAATAGTAGCGTGTCCGTTTGCTCCACCCCGCACCCTCCCCCACACACTATAGTTTGACCAGGTTTACAATACCAGTCACACATTGCCTTCTGTGGGGCAGCCTCAGATTTGATTATCTCCGTAGCAAAATGTCACTATTTGGCCCATTACATTACTACTATTGTATCAGTGGGGATGTCAAATTGCCTGGAAGATCAGTATTGTGGCATGCCGGGACCGGTACTGGTTAGACCAGTGATATCTTTCCTCTCCCGGTGGCCTGCCAGCACTATGAAAGATGACAGTGAGGAAGTTTCCAGTCAGTTCCAGATTGATTTCTTCATGTCCTGCAACCAAAGAGTGTGCTATCTTCAGCAGTGTGCTCTTACCATGTAGTTATTTATGGTAGACAGAGAAGAGCAACAGTAATAGGCTGTGTTGTTCTGGGGGCCTCCATGACCATTAACCATGCATGACAGAAAATTTTATTTAATAGCATCCCATGTCTCCTGGGAGGGACATTGCCCACCTTTGCAGGGTACTTCCATTCAGATTCCCTTTTCTTTATATGTTTTAATTATTTTAAAAGTGGTGATTTTCCATAAGGCTTTTTCATTATCCTTAGATTTTGGTTTTGGTTTTTTGGTTTTGTTTTGGTTTGGTTTTTTAAGACAGGGTTTCTCTGAAGCTTTGGAGACTGTCCTAGAACTCACTCTGTAGACCAGGCTGTCCTCAAACTCATAGAGATCCTGCCTCTGCCCCTCTGCCTGTCTCTGCCTCTGCCTCCCTCTCAAATGCTGGAATTAAAGGGGTGCACCACCAATGCCCAGCCTCCTTAGTTTTTTTTAACCTGCTCTTTATCCCTTTCTCTTCCTGACCTCCCCCAACCCACCTACTTCAGCTAATTAAAAAAAAAAAAAAAGAGAGAGAAAGAGATTTAAGCTGTTTTTATTTACTTTACTAGAGAAGGTTGTTTTGTTTTCGAGACAGGTCTCGCTATATACCTCTGGATGTCCTGGAACTCACTGTATAGCTCAGGCTAGCTTCAAGCTCACAGAGACCCTCCTGCCTTGGCCTGCTTTGTACCGAGAGTGTGTGCCACTACATCAGGACATCAGGAGTTCCAACTAATTAAAAATTCATTTAGCTCTGTGTGCATGCGCATGTCTGTGTGAGGTACGTAGAGGGCATCAGAGTCTCTGACGGGGAAGTTCCAGGCAGTCGTGAGCTAGCTGCCCGTGTCTGGTAATGAACTCCGGTCTTCTGCAAGAGTAATACACTGCTCTCTCACCCACTCAGCCATCCTGTCTCTGGCACGCCCAGCTACTCTCTTCTCTGAGAATCATTTTCAGCCCTATTCTTTTTCCTTTTAGTTTTTTTGTTTGTTTTCCGAGGCAGGGTTTCTCTGGGGCTTTGGAGGCTGTCCTGGAGCTAGCTCTTGTAGACCAGATTGGTCTCAAACTAACAGAGATCCGCCTGCCTCTGCCTCCCGAGTGCTGGGATTAACGGTGTGCACCACCGCCGCCCGACCCTCTTAGTTTTTCTTACTTATTCAGTTTTTAGTATCATAATTTTCATAGTTACTTTGTACTCTTAATCTCCAGTGGATAGTATTGGACTGGAGTCTGATTTTGTTGATTATTTATTTAGATGTATCCACTGTACTGTGTGTTTTTGGTTTTTGGTTTTTTTTTCCTCTCCATGTCTTGTAATGTCTGGTCCATGGCTTCAAAATTTGGTAGATTTTGAAAACTGAACCTTGTTAATAATACATGATGCTAGCAAGTAAATGACTTCTAATTCCTTGAGGACTAGAAACTTAACTTTGAATTAAACCAGTTTATGGTGTTTGTAATTATATAAACGTCTATGAAATTTTTGTAGAAAGAGTTTTTACAAGATTGAGAATAACTGTTGGGATTCTAAAGTCAGGGAATTCTTTTCTTCTAATTGTTCCTACTCCATTTATCTATTGTGCGTATGTGTCACCGTGCTCCTGTGGGCAGAGGTGGCTGTGGATGTCAGTCTCTCCTCCATCCATCTGGTGCGGCCTGGAGATCAGACTCAGGTGGTCAGGCGCTGCAGCAAGGACCTCTGCCTGGAGAGCCAGACCAGAGGGCGGCCCAGATTCCACTGCTTTAGTTCCCACTTGAGTTTTACACATGAACACCTTTGTTGTTTAGAGTCCATCTCAAGATGCCATGCCAAATTATGATTATCATTTGCTAAATGATACCATATTTCACATGTGATGTTACGTATTTTGTACATAATTTGGATTAGCCTTTGTAATTAGTTACACATCTATATTTAGAGATTAATTCGTACAGCTCACAAGTTGGAACCTAAGCTGCAGCAAGTCTATCTGACTGCAAATGCTGGCTCTGCAGCCAGAGCTGGTCTACCCTCTTCTGTTACTGTTGCTGTGGTTTTGCTTTTAACCCTAATTGTCTTATAATGATTTTGGACACTGTGCTGAGTTTGGTCAAATTGGATATCCCCTAATGATATAACCATGTGTTTTTGGGGGAGCACTTTCCAGTTCTCTTTGCAGCCTCTCTGTGAATGTAGTCCTTAGTTTTGATCCATCCATAGCTGATCACCTGGGGTAAGGCTGGCTGGTGCTTTCATTGTTGGGAAATGGATATTGTTTGTATTTAATGGTGTAGCACTTACAGCAGCTCTGTGTAACAGACAGCTTTAGTTTTAAAACCGTTAGAATTTTTGTTAGAAGGTATTGGAAAATAATGATGCATTGCAATAATTAGTGTTTATGTTTTATTTGTTATATGTTGGTAATTGTATATGTATGAGTCTTCATGTACCAAAATGTGCAAGTGGAGGTCAGAGGACAACTTGTAGGAGGAAATGAGTTCTTTTCTGTCACCATGTGAATCCCAGAGCTCAAACTCTGGTCAGGCTTGGCAGCAAGTGCCTTTACCCACTGAGGCATCTGCCAGCTCTGTGAGTTTGAACTCACAGATGTGCTGTGCTGTTTACTTGTCAAACTGTTGAGATAAAGGCACCTAGGGGCCTGGCTTGAAGTAGGCCATTACCCCTTTTACCCTAACCGTTACCACCAGTTACTTGGTATTTACCAGTTCCATTAGAGAATCAACCAAGTTTTGTTTTTTAGAGTGGGAAAGCTTCTGGCAATGATTCCAGTGGTGTCATTGACCTCACGATGGATGATGAAGAGAGTGGAACTACACAAGGTACTTAAATAGTAATTCTTCAAGGAAATGCTATAGTGACGCTTCTCTCTTAATATCTGGTGATATTTTGGGAAGGTAAAATTGATGTGTCTCACCCTTGTAGAATTATAGTTAAGAAACTGCAGTCAAACCCTGAATGAAGATGCAAGCTATAGAGGAAAGCAGCAGTTAGGATGCTTCCCTTATGCCTGCTAACCCCATTGTTCGCTATGGAACCCTTGCCCTCATCTGAGCTGAAGGACCTTAGGAAGCAGCAGACTCAGCAGGACACCCAGGGATCGAGTCTCCCTCTTTGCTTGCTTGCCCTCGCCCTGGCCCTCCCCTCTCCTTCCTCTTCTAGTGTAGAGACTTTTAAGTGTATGTGCATTTAATTTTGATCTTTAGAATTGATTTCCTTTAGTGTTATGTAAATAAAAATCAAAATTTAATAGTAATTCTCTTAGTTGCAGTATTCAGAAACTAAATTGGATAGCTACTAAGCCATATTCTGCGGACTCATGAATAAATGTTCCTTGGTTAATTCTAATTAGGAAAGTCCTGAGTTAAAATTCAGAGGTCCATCATCATAATCATCAATGTTCACCAATGTAGTCTTTACTGTGATTTATAATGTAAATATCCAGTCGTGATTCAAAGTATAGTGTTTATCTGACTTCTTTGGCTATCAGTGTCTTTGTTCACAGACATATATAAAACCATGATGATAATGTATGCATTTGGAAGGATCAAATGCTAATTGTTTTATCTTGAAGTCAATAAACTTAGCGAAGGTTTAACAAAGTTATATTTTGGGATATAAAACAGTTGATTTGGGAGAAATAAAATTAAGTAGATATAGTTAACTTTAATCACTATAGAACTGTGTACAGCTGAGGTTCAGTTGAGACAGTTACCCTGTCCTTCATCAAGGCTGACTCATGCGGGTGTGATGTGCACTTGTCTGATGGTGATTTAAGACTTTGAAATTGCCATTTCACTTGGAGTTGTGTTCGGTTTGCTTTCATAGATTGGCGTGGCTCTCAGAAGTTTGTAAAGAGCAGAAATAAGTACAGTAGGATGCTGGGAGGGCAGAGCTGGCCATGCGTCCAGGCACCCTGCCTGCTAGCGTGTTAGCCCCTTAGGATGCTGGGAGGGCAGAGCTGGCCATGCGTCCCGGCACCCTGCCTGCTAGCCTGTTAGCTCCTTAGGATGCTGGGAGGGCAGAGCTGGCCATGCGTCCAGGCACCCTGCCTGCTAGCCTGTTAGCCCCTTAGGATGCTGGGAGGGCAGAGCTGGCCATGAGTCCTGGCACCCTGCCCGCTAGCCTGTTAGCCCCTTAGGGCTGCTTTCATTCCCTCACCTCTGGGCCATGTGAATTCTCCCATTCAGAAGTACATTGTTCTGTTGAGACAAGCTGAGTGAACCAAGCTCTTGATTGCATTTTAATGAGAAGTACCAGAGGATGGATGGAATGCAGGAGGGTCATCTTTTGTAGAGCACGGTCAGCTGATGCTCTTCATAGCATACCATCCAAGTGTTTTGTAATGTTAGCTTTGTCTGAGAGGTAGACATTTATTTTGTAGGCCATCAGAGACCCTTTTGATACTTTCAGCCTTTATACTTTAAGAAATAGTGACGATGAGCAAGCACTTAATACAAATCTAAGCAACTCCAAGTAATTGACGTTTATGGTCAGGGACAACCATCAGTTTACAGTATGTGTCTAGAAGAATGTCTGTGATACAGGTTTACAAATACAGACACATGTATTTTTGCAAGTTATCCTAGTCAGTATGATATATTGAATCCAGAAGGTTCTTGCATTGAAAAAATAAAACTCTATTCCTGTAAAAGTGTCAGTTGGAGTAGTTAATCAGGTTTTCAAGTCAGCAAAAACCTACATAATGAGAAAAAGAAGTTGTCTCTCGAGGGACTTGGTGTACAGTGCAAGTAACGTTTCCCAGTCCAGGTCAGGCCTGTGTTCCTTTGTGTCGCCTGTCACCAACCATGTGTCTTATGTTTAATTAGCAGATCCCAAAAAGCCAAGTCACCCTTCTGCGCCAGCTATGAGCCCTTCCCAGCCCATGTCTCGGCCTTTACAGCCCATTCAGCCGGCACCGCCTGCTCCGCCATCTGGGGTGCCGACAAGTGGGCCCTCTCAGACAACTATCCACTTACTGCCCTCAGGTAAGCTTTGCTGAGTCACCGAGCGGAATGTTAGTTTGTGCATAGAACAGTGTGGTTGTGGAATTGTGTGAAGAATCATTCTTACACTTTCAAGAGGATGTTTGTGGTTTTGAGTGTGTGATGTGGCCTGGCTTTGCTCACTGAGCAACATAGGTAGAGACTAATTCTGACACCTTATCTATGTCATTGTCATTAGCTGCCCAGAAGAGCAGAAATAAACCATTTGCCTCCCTGGATAGCCTACTTGTAATGATTTTGTTCTGAATATAACCAAGAAATTGCTGTGACTGGTGTACATAGCGTGTGCATGCACGTGCATGAGTGTGTATATATTTGGGGGCTTCACCTAAGGCCTTAAGCTTGCTAGGTACACAGTCTCCTGATGGGGATGTCCTTCTGTATATATGCTTCTCTTATTGGTTGATGACTAAAACACTCATTGGCTGGTAGCCAGGCAAGAAGTGTAGGCAGGGCTACAAGAAGAGAAGAGAATTCTTGGGAGAGAATGCAGAGAGAAGCAGACGCCAAGTAGCTATGGGAAAGATAAGGTGCGCTGGGTATTCTCTGGAAAGATAAGGCCACGTGGAAATACTTAAATTAATAGGAATGGGTTAACAATTAAGAGAGAGCTAGCCAGTAAGATGCCTGAGCCGTCAAACAGTTTATAATATAATATAAGTCTTTGTATGTTTATTTAAGGCAAAGCGGCTGTAGGACCAGGCGGAACAGAAACTCCATCTATAGTCTACCACTGAGGCAGGATCTGAGGCTCAAGCTAGTTTTAACCAACCTACCATCCTACCAAGAAGTTCATGCTAATATTTTACCTGCTACTACATTTCAAGAATATGTAGCCTATTTCGCCTAAGCTGTTTAGAAGTCAACCAAGACAGTATGGCTTCTTGGAAGTTAGGTTATACCTCAGAGATTTGTCTGCAGGAAGATCTAGCTAAATGTGATTTGAACGTGAGATTGTTACACTTGTTCTTGATGTGGTAAGTGAATGCTAGTGAGTGTGGTGACTGCGGAGCTTTTGCCTTCCAGAATCTTGATGAGATCTCATGTCCTGCAGCTCAAGCTGCTGCCTACCCTGCCAGCATTTCTAGCAAAAACATGTGCTTATTTGACTATTTCCAGTATGGATGTTTGCTGTTGGTCTTTATATTTAAATGCCATTTTTCTACCTAAATATAGCCAGTATTTTATCCAACCCTTAGCGGTTCTGTGGCTCTTTACCTCGACCCAAAGTTAGGGTGACAGTTACCTAATTCATAGTTTAGAAGGAAGTGTTGCTAGGTAAGCAGATACACTGGCAGTTGTCACCAGATGCTGGGAAATCCCTTCCCCCTTTATGTAGTACTGGGTATTGGGTGGGTCTGTTCTTTGAGCTTTGCTGGCTGTTTCTCTTGTGTCTGTTGAGTCGATGAGTGTGGCTAGGTGCTGCATGATAGGTTTCACCGAACTTGTTCCTTATTGGTACGAAATGGCCTGTTCCGCCTCTGTCCCTTGTCTTATAGTTAGCTCAGCTAGACAGACAGACACACCTGGTGTGGGGAAGTTCATGTGACCCGAGGGACTGGAGGAAGGGCTTGAGGTATGTGATGTGCAGGAGATTCTGACAGCCTTTCCTCCATGGTTAGATTTCGTGTGATGGTAATTGCTGCTTTATGCTGTCTTCTTTACATAGAACTAAAACTCCATTCTTTACATAGAACTAAAACTCCATTCTTGTATCTCTTGTTGCCTCCCGTAGCTCCAACCACCGTGAATGTAACACATCGTCCAGTAACTCAGGTGACCACAAGACTCCCTGTACCAAGAGCTCCTGCAAACCACCAAGTGGTTTATACAACTGTCCCAGCACCACCAGCTCAGGCTCCACTACGAGGGACTGTTATGCAGGCTCCTGCTGTCCGCCAGGTCAACCCTCAAAACAGTAAGAGAGAGACTCTTTTCTTCCGGATGGCTTTGCGTGCTGCTCTGTCCTGACATTAGGCTATCAATTAAGGGATATGGCAAACACCACACTTCATTAGTAACAATGTAGTGTGTTGGAGATTGCTGATACTGGAGATTTTAAGTGATTTCATAGAAAAAAATTGTAAGAATGTGAGTAGTTCAACTTCACCATTCCACAATGTGTACATTTTGCAATTGATCAAAAGCATATAGTTTAATCCATTAAAATGCATTCTGAAGATATTTTATCATTTTTTTTCTTCCCTAATTTATTTATTTAGAGACAGGGTCTCTGGCTGGCCTTGAGCTCACAGAGATCCATCCGCCTGCCTCTACCTCCTAAGGGCTAGGATTAAAGGTGTACATCACTACATCCAGCCTTTCTTATGACTAAAGGAGAAAAATTGAATGTACACACTGTAGGATTTGTAGTCTTTATATTGTCTTCAATTTAACTTTGTTAATGGTCTATATTATAGCACCCTTTAGATATTTATTAATGTTTTGAGACAGGCTCTCACTGTATATATCCCTGGCTGGGTGAAAGTTTGCTGAGTTGACCACAATGGCCTCAAACTCAGAGAGGTCTGCCTACCTCTGCCTCCCTCCTGCATACTGAGGTTGAAAGGCATGTACATTAATCTCTACACTTAATAATTGTCAAATTGGAGTTGGAATGGTAAGTTGTGGCTTAACCCAGAGAAGGAACGTCACGGCAAAGGTGGTCTATGCCAGTAGTCTTAAAGGCATGGAAAGCAGCTAAAGAAATTCAAGGAAGGAAAAATTTAAAGGATGCTTAGTTTATTTGAACTATAATTATAACCAGTCTCTATTTATTAAAATACTGTATATTAGTAGCATAGAGTATATGTCTTAGTAGTAGGAAATCAAGTTAAGGTTTAGAGCTGGACATTAGGTGCACACACTTGGAAAGTGGAGGCATGTGGATCAGAAGCTCAAAGTTATCCTGGACTACATAGTGATTTCAAGGCCAGCCTGGGCTACATGAGACCCTATCTCAAAAAGCCCAAATAAATAGACCCATAAAAATGCATAAATAAAGTGTAAAGGAAAGTAATGAAGTGAGTCACACAGGACCGCATTAGGAGGCAGCACTCTCCTGTCTGTCTGTATTACCTCCCTGTCTTCCCATCTACCGTCTCCCTTTCTTTGATCAGTTCTTACTCTTTATAGAATAAGCACAAATTATCTGTCTCCAAAAACTATGATTCCATTAAGTCTTTGCTTCTAGAAAAAAAATTAAACTAAATGGAGCCTTGGGATCATAGTCTGGCTTTAGCTCTCTCAAGGATTTTCTCTAGGTAGTTGACTGGGGCATGAATGAGTTCTGGAACAGCCAGGGCACCTGGCAAGACTAGCTTAGATCAAGAATGTCTGGCGGAAACATAATTGCGTCTCTACTTGTGTTGACCTTGGGTAATGTCACAGTAGTTTTCCTTGGGGTGAAGTGTGTCTTCTGCTGATTAGCAGTATATAAAGAGAAGGTGGAGAACCTTACTAACGTAGGACTGGGGAGTTTTTAAAGAAGATTTTATTCGTTTGTTCATGTGTGTCTGCCTGTGTGCCTGTCAGTCTTCACAGGCTGGAAAAGGACATGGGATCTCCTGGAGCTGGAGTCACAGGAGATTGGGAGTTAACTGACATGGGTGCAGGGGCCCAAACTCAGGTCCTTTGCAAGAGCAGTTTGTTCTTCCTGCTGAGCCTCGTCTCTCTCTCTCTCTCTCTCTCTCTCTCTCTCTCTCTCTCTCTCTCTCTCTCTCTCTCTCTCTCTCTCTCTCCCCCCAAGGGGGACTTTGATGACAGCGGCTGTCTGTCTGTCTGTCTGTCTGTCTGTCTGTCTTTGGCTCCAGTCTGTCTGTTGCGCACACTTGGTGTGCACAGCTGTGTTGTAGGGTTTTTATTTCTGGTATCCTCGTAAAGACGCGTGTGTGTTAAGTCATGGTTAAGTCACAGTTTGGCTGACTGGAGACTTTTCAGTTGGAAACATTTGTCCTCTTGAATTAGTAAAAAACTGTTTTACTAGCAAGCAGTATTTGTTAGTTTATTATTTATTTTTTGTTTTTCGAGACAGGGTTTCTCTGTGGCTTTGGAGGCTGTCCTGGAACTAGCTCTTGTAGACCAGGCTGGTTGGTCTCAAACTCACAGAGATCCACCTGCCTCTGCCTCCCGAGTGCTGGGATCAAAGGCAGTGTTTATAATGCGCAAACAAATTTACAGTAGGATTTTGATATTTCCCTTATATTATGTTTCATTTTCTTTTGCAGGTGTTACAGTTCGAGTGCCTCAGACAACCACGTATGTTGTAAACAACGGACTGACCCTGGGATCCGCAGGGCCTCAGCTCACGGTGCACCACCGGCCACCGCAAGTGCACACTGTAAGTGTCGGTGCTTGGCTTCCATGCCGCTCGAGTCACCCTTTCTCTTTGTTACTGCTAGCTCCTTTGCTTTTGTCTGATTTTCTTTTCTTTTTTGAGATAGGTCTCTCTGTAGCCCTGGCTCCTAAAACTCACCCTGTGGACCAGGCTGGCCTCACTCAGATCTGCCTGCATCTGCGTCTGTGTGTGTGTGAATGAACCACATTCCCAGCCCTAGAACCTAGAGCTGAACAATGTGATTTTTCTTAGTTTTTGTGGAAAAATAGTATCATTGATTGAGCATCTGTGTCCTTGCTACTCTAAGAACTTTGTTTCCTCTAGCCTCATAACCCTATGGGGATTAGTAGAGATACTCTCATTTAAATACACACACACACACACACACACACACACACACACACATCAAGTAACAAACATGCAAGTATAGTATGTCATGGAGGTGTTTAGTGCTTCCTCAGTGTCCATATCCATGGTACAGGTAAACTCAGCCAGACCTCATGTGCCTTGGAGCTTCCCTTCTTCAGTTCTGGCTGTTTTGCCATTACTGTTGCAGCTACAAAAGGTTTGTCTTCGTGCAGGGAATTATGATATAGCAACCAGGATAGTTTTCCCACTTCATAATCCACCAGAGCTTTTGAAACTTTTTGCTTTGTAAATCTATAACTCTAAGTAGCTTAAATTGTTTTGCTAGAGACGTTGACTTCTTATTTTATTCTAATGCAACTACAAAGCTTTTCAGGGTAACTGCATACATATAAGCGTATTCCTTCAGCACTTGCTGCGTTTGTTTCCTTCCTTTGAGGCAGGTCTTCATGTAGCTCAAACTGCCTCAGACTCATGGTCCTCTTGCCTTAGTCTCCAGGAGTTGGTGTTGCAGAGGGTCCACTGACCTGTGCAGCCACACTTGCTTATCTTAATACCTAGTGCTGTAGTTCTTCCCAAAACTTCAACAGAAACCCCAACTGCACCGACAAAACAAAACTTGACTAGTTTAACTAGTTGGGGGACTTGAGTAGATTCAACAAACATACGCAGTTAAAGAACTAGAAGGAATACAGCAGGCCACAGAAGCTCTAAGCAAACCCATTAAGTTCCAAGCCTGTGGCTTCAGCCAGCCTCTCTTAGCTCTTGGTCGCTGTGTGGTTTAATGAACTGAGATGATTAGTCACTCAGGAAGAGATAAGTAGAGGAGAACACCTATAGCAGCTGTTCCATCAGGCCTCATCCCAGTTTTCAGTGTTACTCCCTTAAACTTGGGGCTTCTCTCCACTTGATTTTGTCTGTTAACTGGAGGTTTGTATGTCTCTCCACAAATGTTATGTATAATTTCTGTACTGCTAGGAACAATGCATTTCAGCAAACGTCTGCATCCCTGAAACCATCAATATATGATTCAGGCTCTTTCTGGCTTCAGCCTGTAGTCCTAACCCCACAGCTCCTCTGTCCTTCACATGCCCTCTTTCATGGTAATTAGCAGAGTTTGGATTCCAGCTCAGTGGTGATCCCTAAGGGGAATCACATTTACCCTGTGACTAGGCACTTTTTTTTAATGCAGCTTTTAGAATAGTTTGTCTTATACTTTTAAAAGTTGCCTATAATAAAGCATTGGATTTTAGTAGCATATTATCCACTAGTTTATTCAAACTGAAGTACTGCTTTGCTTTGTTCTGTTTGGGTGCTGGAGATCAACGTAGAGCCTCCTCCATCAGGGTTTGCACTGAGCTATGTCCCTACCCGGAATACAGACAAATGTTCTGTTCCATGAAGTTTGGTGAGGAGTGGCATTTGGATCCAGTCCAGAGTTAGAAAGCAGTGTGTTGCATTTGTGCTCACCCGATCTGTTTGCTGCCTCGTTTTTGAATGTACCCTATGCCAGAGGAAATGTTAGCACTCACTCTTGTTGCCAGCCTCCCTGCTTCCTCTGCTCATGCTTTCCTGGTTATCAGGCTGGGGGTTGGGGAGCATTTGGCCATTTCTGCGTCTGTAAGTCCTCCTGTCTTTCATTGTATCATGTATCCATCCTGACTGGCCAAGAACATAATTCATGTTCAGCATTATTTATACGTGTGGTGCTATCTTTGAATAAAAGAGTGTAGGTTTAAAGTGAGTGTGGTTTTATGTGCCAGTTTGTATGTTACACATAAATGCTTTCTAAATGCTTTCCTAAAATGAGAATCTATAGTAGGGAAGATTAAATTGTAAATTATTCGTTAGATATAGATGTTTTCCACTTATGTCAACATCTCTTCAATGATACTCCATTAGGAAGGGATTTTTGGTTTCCAAGAAGAATGTAGTATTTTCAGTCTAGGAAATATAGTTGAATAAGTTTAGCGCCATTGTTTGGGGGCATGATTAGTTGTGTTTTACTGAGTAGAATTGGTTGTGGTATTGGTGTTTTTCAGAGTTCTTAATGTAAAATGATAGCTCTCTGTGATCACTAAGGTGTCTTCTGAAATGATTCTGTAATGGCTAAAAATCCATGTATCTTTTCTTTTGCCAGGAGCCCCCACGTCCTATGCATCCTGCACCTTTACCTGAAGCCCCGCAGCCACCGCGTCTGCCCCCAGAAGCGGCCAGCACTTCCCTGCCTCAGAAACCACACTTGAAGTTAGCGCGAGTTCAGAGTCAGAATGGCATCGTGCTGTCCTGGAGTGTCCTGGAAGTGGATCGAAGCTGTGCCACTGTTGACAGCTACCATCTCTATGCTTACCACGAGGAACCCAGTGCCACTGTGCCCTCTCAATGGAAAAAGATTGGCGAAGTCAAAGCTCTCCCTTTACCAATGGCTTGCACTCTCACTCAGTTTGTGTCTGGCAGCAAGTACTACTTTGCGGTACGCGCCAAGGACATTTACGGCCGTTTTGGGCCTTTCTGTGACCCTCAGTCCACGGACGTGATCTCTTCCTCCCAGAACAGTTAGACCTTGGAGCCTTTAGCTTACTCTTTTCAAAGTTCCACATTTTGGGCTTGTTTTTAATCTTGTGCATGAAATTCAATGTAAAATCCACCTTGTGCAAGATCTCTTGGACAGATGAGTGTACACACTACGTTTGTTTATAACTGAAGTATAATAAATTCAGCCCATAAAGCAAGTCTTCCCCTGAACAAGTCAAGTTTCAGGGTTTTGAAATGTAAATTGATCCTTGCTTTAGTTTTGAGGCTGGAGAATATGTATGGATGTTTGTGTGTCTTCTTTCTTTTCCTTTCTTTCTTCTTTCTTTCTTTCTTTGTTGTTTTAATTTTTAAATTTCTAGTTGTGTGTTGTCACAGTGCAATCTCCCATTGTCACGCAGATTTACCTCTCTTCCAGTAGGAAGTAAGTAGATGAAAGAATCTGAGGTATGTTGCTGTTGTGGTTCTGCCTTTAGGGGGATCTAGAAGATTAAAGAGTCTAAACAAAACCCAAAGAAATAAAAAAGAAAAGTATTTATCTTAAAATAGATGAATTTGAACAGAGGACATGTTCTCTCCATATTTTCTTTGATTTCTTCTGAGTTGCTGACTAGGTGAAAAATGTACCTGCATCCAAGTTCCTAATCTGGCTTCTACTTTTGTGTTGTGCCTTACAAGCTACAGAAATACACAGACAATATGCCCATTGTTGTTTATTTTTCTTTACATTTCATTTGTTCCTCATTGCCACCAAGGGTACCAAACCCTTTATGCATTTAAAACCAAGATGTGTAAGGGTGTGTTGTGTGCTTTCTTCATCTTCTGTAACATCACTATATTTAACTCTAAAAGTTTCGCTGTTTTCTTTTAAGGACATAATTCTATTTTTGTCCATTATCTAATTCTCCCTAAAATAAGCCATATTGTTTAAGAACATTTTTCATGAAACTTCTTTTAACGTCCATGTTGCATTGTTAGAGAACCTGAAGTAAGTTCTGGCTCATCTTATCCCTTGTGGGAGAATGTTCTTTCTAAGGCAGTAAATGTTCCTGTTCATAAAAGAGCAGGGGGGGGGGGCGACGGCTCAGATTCTCCTCCTTCTATGAGGCACTTCATGCTGTATGTAGTCTACACTTGGTTTTGGTAGTGCCGAGTGGCACCTGATTTCATCAACTTTGGATAAAACTTAGAAGCATATCCTTTGGGTCATTTCACATAACTCCTAGATCCCATCACTTCAGTGCAAAGTTACCCCAGCAGGCTCACCCCTGCACCTTAAGGACTGTCAGCTTCGGGGCAGTCAGCCAGGTGCTTTGGAACCGAAGAGGAGGGTGAGGGTACGCTCTTAGGGGTGAGTTAGCGAGGCATTGTGGAGTTCTTGAAGTCACCTTCATTTTCATATTTCTGCCTTCTCAAAATACATGAGTCATTCACTTTTCCTGGCATTAAAAGCAGGGAGCTCCATTTGCTTTGTTTATGTGTTCCTGTGATAGCCAATGGCAGGTATTGTTGAGTTGTGAAGAGATGGTCTTTGGTGATGCCTCACTAGTGTTGCTCCGTCATCAGGGATTGTTGAGTTGTGAAGAGATGGTCTTTGGTGAGGCCTCACTAGTGTTGCTCCGTCATCTTCAGTGTGAATTTTGGTTGACGAAGGAAGCCTACAATTGCCAAATTGTAAATGCTCCTAACCTTCCTCTCTGAGAAAAAGGAGACCACATGAGAATCCATTTTCCACAAGTGAAATTTGGCAAGCAGTTGTATAGCAAATACTCCATAGATTCATGATCATGCTAAGGGTTGCCCATGTTATGGTAATGAGAATTTGGAACGGAAGAAATTATCTTCTGTGTGTGAGCACCTCTCTGTGCTGGCGTGTTGGTATGTTCACTTTTTGTGAGAGACAGGTTTGGTACTCTGTTCAGCATCATTCCTATTTATATAATAGAAAAAAAATGTTCAAAATCGCTTTTACTGACTGCCCAGTAACCAATGGAAGTTTCTCTGGATGAATATTTTGATTTATATTCACTAATCATTTTCTATTTTCTAGTTCTTTTTTAAGTTTTCATAGTGTTATATAATCAGCAGAAGAAAGCCCAGAAGAATTACTATATTTCATGATTTTGATTTCTACTAGGGGTGTTTTTGTCAAAGGAAGACAAAAAAATTCAAATAATGGCTCTAGATGTAGATTTACTGCAGAAAGTAATTACTGAGAACTGTTTATTCCAGATTGGAAAGAAGGTATGAAGAGAGACTAATTGTTGAGGGTAAATACATTTGTGGATACAGTCTACTCAGATAACCTGCCATGAGGCTTTGGGCAGCAGCCATGTTGGGTTTCCTGGGACTCACTAGGCTTTTTCTGCAGCTGGGCTTTTTGTTGGGTTGTCTCTGGGGGACAGTGGAGGACCTGTAGAAGTGGCTGCAGACTCCAGCCGCCAGGATGCTTAGTGGCGGTTCACATTCCATAGCTCTTTGAACCCCGCATCTCTCACAGTATTACACATGCTCTCGGTTGTCTTTGGGAACTGAAGTTTGCTGCAGTTTCAGCCTGCCAGCACTGGTGAGTATCGCCTTTCTGGGGACCCTGGAAACGTGACACGTTTCAGCGTGAAGTGTCAGGTGTTTATATGGGAATGAATGGTGACAACAGTGTTTGTCACCCTCTGCTCCGCACTTTGTCAGAGTACTTTTTACCATTTTCAGTGTGAACACGCCTCTTTCATTCATGTTCTTGCTAATGGCATCTGTTGTGACAGTTAACCTGACAAGGTGACTGTTCTCTGTCTCTCTGGGCTTGATTTTTAAACTCTGCAGAATACTTTGTACTGTGTGATACAGTTTGACTCTGGAAGAAACGAGCTTTCTTCCTTGGGAATACTTGTTGGGTTACCATTTACCTCACAGAGAGGTGCCCTCCCCAAACCTCCACCCATCTGCCAGATCAGGGATTCCTTTAAAAACACGAACCTTGGCAATCTGAGGTGCATCTCTGTGGAGCTTTCTTTACACATTGGATGGGTGTTCTTGTTGCTTTTGACATTGCTTTGAATGTCCTTAATGTCACTGTTTCACAGTAGTGTATGTGATGTAAGATGCTGTGTGTGGCATTGTCTGTCAGGCAGGTGCTGTGGTCTCACACCACAGGTACCACAGACACCTCCCAGGTGTTCTCCCTGACTCCACCTTAGGCCATTTCAGTGTCCTCAGTGTGATATTTCTTCTCCCTGCTTCCCTGAGGCTGGGTCACCTGTTTGTCATGGAATTACATCATTGGGCATAGATAATAACAGTAGTCATGTGATCTCTGCCTCCCTTAATTATTTTCCAGGCTAATGGCTTTAAAGAAATACTTGAGGGGCATGCACACAAAGATTAGAACAGTGTAACATGAATAAATAAATGTCTCAGAGTCTGATATTGGAGTTCAAGCTGAAGATCAGAAAAGCAAAGCAGCCGGCCACTAGATCTCATCTCTAGCTTAGGCTGAAAGAACTGATCCGTGCCAGGAACCCCTTCACCAAGTCTCAAACTGCTGCCTCTCCTCAGCGTGGCTGGAGAATGAATGCCTCTCTGAGACCTTGCTTCTGTCTTATAAACTTCCTTAGAGTTGGGATTAAAGGTGTGAGCTGTAATTCTCTTTTAGACTGATTCAGTCTTGTGTAGCTCTGGGTGGCCTTGAACTAAGAGATCCACCTATCTTTATTTTTATTTTTTATTTATTTTATTTTATTTTGTTTTTTTACGAGACAGGGTTTCTCTATATTGTTTTGGAGGCTGTCGGTCCAGCCTGGCCTCGAACTCACAGAGATCCGCCTGCCTCTGCCTCCCGAGTGCTGGGATTAAAGGCGTGCGCCACCACCGCCCTGCCTCCATCTGTCTCTTAATCCTGAGACCTAGGATTAAAGGTATGTACCACCACCTCCTAGCTTCTGGCTGCTGGGATTAAAGGTGTGTGCCTAGCTTCTATGGCCTGTGGCTGACTTTGCTTTCTGAATCCTCAGGCAAGCTTTAATAAATCATAAATAATATATCACCACAGAACAGTTACCATGAGGGCTCTGTCAGTGCAGGAGACTTCCCTAATTCTTAAAACTCATCCCCTTGAGGCAGCTGAAAGGGAGGAGCTGAAGACACACTGTTCTCTTCAAATGGTCTTATCATGTCTGAGCTTTTGTTTTTTGTGTTTTATATGTAGACAGCTGAGTACCTATCATTTAAATATTCAAATGATTTTCTTTCCTTTTGTAAATAAGGGAACTAAGCAATCAGACACCTTCTGGGTTATCAACCATTTCAAACACAAATGTAAAAATAAACCCTTGTAGGAAAGCTTGCATCCTGATTTTTGTTGATTGCAATTGGAAGTGTAAATAGTAAGATGATGTAAGACCTTCTTAAGGTCTAATACTAACTGGGCTGTAGCAAGGTTGCCCTATTTTTTATTAGGTTTTGAAAGTTTTTTCTTTCCTAAATGTACAGTAGAGTGCTGTCTGTGTAAGTGTTAATTGTAGTGGGGATTTGTCCAGCAAGCCTGAAATTTATACTTTGAAATAAATGACTGGGTTTTTAACATTCTGGGTACTCTGATTCATTCTGAGAGTTCTCAGCCTGTGCGTGTGTCTCTTTAAAAACCCCCACTATGCTCAGAATCACCCTTGTTCACTGTTCAGTGTGCCTTATTTAACCTATTTGGCAATTCCCTGGTACTCAACCCACATGCTGTTCCCTAGCTTTGAAAGAGAAGTTGCTGTGCAGATCTGCTCTGCCTGGGTATTAGGGTGTTTCCAACTAACTGCATATCCAGCCTGATGCCCATTGATGACCAGAAAGGATCACAAACTGCTGCCTATTTGGGCTCCCCCAACTATCAGCATTGGCCAGCAGGGGAAGGAGAGAGACCATAGGAAGTGCAGGTGTTTAATGGGTCTGGAAATAGCCCTCATCTTACTTCAAGCTCAGTGGGCTAGAACTTAGTTATACCATGGGCTGTGATTGGCGTCTTCTGGCACTAAAGGAGGCTAATGGATTCTGATAGGGTTTGTACTATCCTTTTGTGTATTCATTTCATGCATGATATTTATTCTGCAGCTCTCCACCCTGCAGGAAATGTTTGCTGTTAAAAATCTGTGGAAAATGAAGGGGGATTTAATATTTTTTATTGAGTACAGATGGGAAAATATAGCTAAAATAGTGCCTTTGGAGTCTTATTTGCAGCTTTCATTTTCCTCCTCCATCCTTCACTTTTTGTCTTGTGCCAAAGTTGGTGTCATGGTAACAAAACCAAAGTTATAGACTTCTGGCATCCCCAAATGGAGAGTTTTGTTGAACCGATTCCAATTAAAAGCTGGGAGGCCATCTTGTACCGTGGGGCCACTAATGGCATGGGCTGTATACTGAGATGCAAGGAAGATGTCTGCCACCTAGAAAAAGACAGGACGGCATTTTAAAAGACAATCTGAAGTTTGGTTCATCCCCCTTCTCAAGGGCACACCGCGAGCCTCCCTTAAAAGACCAGTTTCCTGGAAGCTGCATCCTTTGCATGACGTGGGCTTCTGTATGCATTTGGCATGCAAAAGGCAACTGACTAGGAGAGAAACACACAAGATCTGCAGTGTGGTGACTAGTTCAGAACTGTAGCTCCACAAATTACTTTTAAATCCCTTTAGTGTTCCCATGACTTGATTTTCCTCCTCAGAAAGT